TTAAATGATCCTGCGCCAAAATTAAATGATCCTCCACGAAACCAATATCCGCGAGCGCTAAACCATATGAATCTGAGTACGAAATAAAAAGCGCTACCCACGAAGTTAATAGCATCACCCACGAAACCAAAAGCGTAGCCCACGTAACCAAAACCATCACCCACGAACTCATATATCATTATGCATGAAAAAAAATCATCATCCACGAAACCATATACCTCAACCATGAAATCATTATCCTCATGTTCCTGTTCATCTTGGAATCCTGTACCACCCAAGGGCCAACGGTGTTGCTGAACGATGGGTTCAAACATCACTAAGAGCAATTAAAAAACGTATTCAAGGAGTACACAAAGACTGGGATTTATATGTACCAGTCGTGCAATTGGCCATGAATGCCAAAGTAAGTGCACGATTAAACACTGCTCCATTCTCACTAATGTTCGCTCGCAAATTAAACAACTTTGAAGACTATCGTGAAGGTGAATTGCTATCACCAATGCAGCGACATGATTTATTAGAAAGGATTGAAACGATGAATACGGTGGTTTTTCCAGCCATAAAGGAAAAGATGGAAGCTGTAACTATGAAACAGAAAGGGAAGTTCGATAAACAGCATACCATTCTAGAATTTCCTATCCAAAGTCATGTGCTGAAGCGTGCCTTGCAAAAGAAAGGTAAATTACATCCCGAATACGAAGGACCATATACAGTGGTTCGTAAAACAAAAGGTGGTTCGTATGTGCTCATCGATGAGCAAGGCGAGTTACTACCCATTGACATACCCCCATCACAATTAAAGCTAATCTCGCAGGACGAGATTGTGCCAGCAAATGAAGTCTATGAGATAGACTCTATCATAGCACATAAAAAGGAGTCTGGCGTGACCTATTTGTACAAAGTTAGATGGAAAGGGTATAATGCTGAAGATGACACATGGGAACCCTATGAACACTTTAATAGCATGGATGTGATTACTTCCTATTGGGAACGATTAGGTGTGGATTGCCCACACAACACAAACGCAAATCCCGTAACTAGGAACACACCACAAGACGTTCTATAAAAAGACGTCGCCAATAACTTCTCCTGGCAACGCCCTGAAGGGGGATGATGTTTGTATCCCTGGCAACATCGGAAAATAGATGCTTCATACAACATGATAGGAATGCAGGCATTCCATGTTTACAATAATACTGATTAAATAATACAAACATCATCATACGCATACAACCACATAGTAGACAAAAGTATATAAAAGGGCTGGTCCCGTAATAAAACACTGACATCAGTCTCACAGTACTTGATTCTTTCTTGTCACTTTTAATCCCATCTTTTATTTCTAATCCTTACGAACACCTCATTTGTTAACATCACTCGCCAACGTGACATGCTTAATCAGCGTCTTACCACGTTGCAACGCATTCACCAGGACAACAATGCGACACCTGGTTCGAGAATCAACAATACGAACAGCCACGATGCGCTTGTTCCTCGCCACCTACCAGCTTTTCAATTTCATGGTGGTGTACGACACACCAAAAACAAGCCTCGTTATGACTCGGCTCAGTCTTTCTTAGAGGAGTTTAGAACCGTCTTGGAAGGCCACAGCTTGAACATTGAGCACCATTGGCGTCGCTTAATGCCTCTTACGGTAAATTCGAATAGCCGTGCTTACAGTAGTTGAGAGAACTAATGGCAAAGGAGGGTGTTATTGACTGGGATACGTTCTGTCAAGAAAGAATCAAGCAATACTCACCACCCTATACTATGTTTTATCGTCGCTATCATTTGCGTACAATGTGGCAAAAGTCTCACGAATCGCTTCGACAGTACTCCACCAAGTTCCAGGAATACGCTGTCAAAACCGGAATCGCCAACAATCACGAGTTGGTGTTCAACTATTTGTGTTCCTTGCATCGCCGCTATCGCAAACGCTCGTGGTCCCTTGTGCATAACCACTATGGCGAAGAAATCCCTGAAGAACTTCAACCGATTGTGCAGCTTGTTATGACATTGTCTTCTGGCGAAAGAGCTCCAGAAGACGAGGAATTACCCATGAGCGACACAAGTAGTGACTCCGATTCGGGAAGTGAAACAAGTGATTCTGATTCACATCGACACAAACGCCGTCGATTAACACGCAAAGGTAAAGGAAAAGCAAAGGCCAAGAAGAACAAAGGCGGCAATTGCCCTATTCATCGCGGTGCCGGCCATGACGAAGAGAATTCCAACGTTCTGAAAAAACATGTCAATGCGGCCTTATCCCAACAAGCTTCATCACAGGCATCAAGTTCTCGTGCTACCACTTTTACGCCACGTTTCTCGCGCTATCCAAATCGCATGCCACCACCACCTCGACCTGGCAGCAATCTTTGTTGGCACTGCAATAAGGTTCCTTTCGTACCCGGTCGTGAATGTCAAGAGATGCGGCAATCACGTGCTCGACGAGCTCAGCGTCTCAACAACAATACTGTCCGTGCTCGCATGGCACACGTCAACAACAATGGTAATGCCAACCTTATGCAAATCGATGATGAGCAGCTTGATCAACAAGCTCAGGGTAAGCATACTTCAACAGCTCCAAATGACATGCATACTCACTCTATTTTGGTACCTATTACCATTCAGAATAGACAAGTGAAGGCATTGTTAGACACTGGAGCTGATCGCTCACTCATAGGCATGAATTTTGCTAAAGAAAATAAATGGAATATTACACCTCATACAAATACAGGTTCAGTTATTATGACAATGAAAGGCGATACTGGTCACCGATATGGATGCATAAAAGATGTACCACTACAATATATGAATCGTCAATATCAACATACATTTGAAGTATTACCATTAGCAGAGAATATCAAAGTAACGATAGGATTGGATTTAATGCCCAAGCTAGGGATCTCTATACATGGCTTAGCCACGCAATGGAATATAGACGAAAGACAACATAAAGCTAGTGATGATACCTTGTTTGATATACCTAAACCAAATGAGTCACCTGCTGGCACTCAAGCCGAGCAAGAAAACTTTCATGCGGCCATCAAGCCTGATATTAATGCAAATGCTCAAATACCCCAAACGTCATTCTGCAACGTTCCACAATCGGTGGTTAGACTTGAGACACCGGACAACGTTACCTCCTACCGTCCTCAATACGCTTTACCAGAAGCAGCAATGGACGAAGTTAAAAAGACAATTGACGTATGGCTAGCGGATGGCACTATCGAACGTGCTCCCACTTTCTCAGCTTGGAATAGTCCATTAACATTAGCACAGAAAATGGATGCTGCTGGTGAGAAGGTGAAGTTGCGTTTGTGTCGTGATCCCCGGCACATAAACCAATTACTGCCTGATCACGGATAGCCTCTTCCTATCATCAAACAAATCTTCCATACACTGAAAGGATCATCCATATTTACAACATTAGACTTAAAAAGTGCTTTTCATAGATTTATGATTCATCCAAATGATCGACATAAACTACAATTTTCCATTCTTGGACAACAGTATCGATGGGTTGGAGCCCCATTTGGCCTTAAGGTCTTGCCGAACATCTTCCAAGCAACCATGGGCACACTGTTTAACAATCTTCCATTTGTACAATGCTTTATTGATGATATCGTAATCTTCTCTAAAAACATGGACGAACACATACAACACGTTCAAGAGGTCATCGAAACGTACCGCATCCAACCTCATCCTCAATCCCGATAAGTGCCATTTCGCTCAACAATCTGTAAACTTGCTTGGATTTTGTGTCTCTGCCAAAGGCATATCACTGGATGCTCGAAAGGTTGTTAACGTCATGTCATGGCCTCGTCCAAAAACAGGGAAAGATATCATGCGCTTCCTTGGCATTATTACCTACTTTCGTGATTGGATACCCAATGTGTCCCAGCTGACTGCTCCTTTGGATAATCTTCGGTACGCCGACTCCTTAGACGGTCTCTGGCAGGATACCCAGGAAACTTTCTTTCAAACCTTGAAGAATGTATTATTAAAAGCACCAATCTTGAGATACCCTAACCTTAATTACCCATTCTATGTGGCCACTGACACCTCCAACGTTGGCATAGGAGCCGTTCTATACCAAGTGATCAATGGTGAGACTCGCCACATATCGTTTGTTGCTCGCTCCTTGAATGCTGCCCAGCGTAAATATACCACCACGCGCAAAGAACTACTTGCCGTTGTCTATGCCCTTCAGCAGTTCCATCAGTATTTATGGGGTCGTCATTTCACTCTTCTCACCGACCACCATGCCTTAAATTACTTCCATACTCAACGCGTAGCGAACTCCATGATGCTCAACTGGCTTGACATTCTCCTTTCATATGACTTCGAAGTGGTACGCCTCCCTGGTTTGGATAACACCCTTCCTGATGGATTGTCTCGACTTTTTCCGGCTAATTCAACGCTGGCAGGGGATGAGGATAACGATGTCGCTGACAATGTGCTGAACAATAATAAGCGTAGAATAAATAGACGAAAGGAAAGCAATAAAAGGAGACGCGTTGAATCACGCCAAATTAACTACATACGAGCAAAAGCCACACATTTGACTGAAACACCGCCTTATGCGGACATGCTCACACCACCACCCGAAGAACGCCATGAATTGCTAGAGCAAGCACATGCATTCGGGTACTTCGGCGCTGAGGCAATAACCAAATACCTACATAGTGATGGCATACACTGGAACTCGATGCAGAAAGAAGCTGTCGATCTTGTACGTAAATGTAATGAGTGTCAAATGCACAACATTGTCAAACATGGATACCATCCATTAAGACCGATTCATGCATATATACCCGGTGATCAATGGGCAATAGATCTTGCAGGCCCATTTCACACATCATACCTTGGTAACAGCTATATCCTTGTAATGGTCGACGTATATACCCGCTTTTGCATTATACGACCTATACCTAATAAGCAATCTGATACCATAGTGAGAGAACGTATTACCAAATTTGCTACATTTGGTTTCCCACAATACCTACAAAGCGACAATGGAACCGAATTTGTGAATAGCTTGCTTGAGAAACTTTCGGAGGCTGCTGGATTTGATCATCGTTTGACAACTCCCTATCATCCACGCGCAAATGGCGTTGCTGAACGCTATGTGCGAACCCCTGTACGCACTTTAACGAAATCTATTCAAGGTGCTACCAAAGATCGGGATATCTTTATACCCGCTGTACAGTTAGCTATAAATGCAAAGATTACCAAACGACATGATACCGCCCCTTTTAACCTAATGTTCGCACGCAAAATAAATGCATTCCGTGATTCGAGATGAGAAAGGTTTAGAACCTATATCGGCCGAAGAATGGAAAAAGAGGATGAATGACATGGAGAAGATAGTATTTCCCGCTATAAGCGAGAGTGTACAGGCCGTCATCAAGGCACAGAAAGATCAATTCGATCGTAAGCACTACCTTGTTGAATTTAAAGAACACGATGTTGTAAACGTAAAAGTACGTCACCGATCTGGTAAGCTTGATAGCACCAGCTATGAAGGTCCATATACCATAGTGCGACAAACAAAAGGTGGAACGTTGTTGTGTCAAGATACCGAAGATGTTTATCATCCCATGAATAACATACCCATTCTTTGTTTATGCGCATAACACCATTACCCATACATCTATGAAACCCTTGTTTACTTTCATCACTATAAAAGGATCCTACTTGTAATAAACATACGGCATCAGTCTCACAGTACTTGATCTTGTATCTTTGTTTTTCCAAACGTCTCATTTTTTACTGTGAATACAATCAAGATGTCTTCCCCTATGAACATTGACGAACAAACAAACCAAAACCAAAATCAACAAACACCTCAAGTCTCCAACGGCCAATCGAACAAGGATCCCAGAATTGAGAATGCCCTCAAGGCATATCAAAACTTGCAGCAAGAAGTAATGCAAAAGGAAGTAACCTATAACGAGATTGCAAATAATACGGCGATCACTACGGAGTCCAAGAAGGCCAAATTGAAAGAGCTCAAGGAAATGCAAGGGCACTTGGAGGAATCACGTCACGTTTGGCGTAAGCAACACCCCCAGCGATTGGAGTTCCTTTCCATTCAAGAAATGGAAGAAGAAAAGAGAAGAAGAAAGGATGCCGCTAAATGGCAAAAAGTAGTAGTGCCAAAAGACCTGCCTGTGTTGCAATTAGCAGGCGGATACAAATGGGACCGCAAGAAGGTTGTGCATAACTCAGCAGCGGCATTCATCAGAGCGTTTGAACGTGAATTGCACGCCCATGACTTGTCAGTTGATGAACATTGGCAACGTCTATTGTCACGTTCTCTTAATGATCCCCAGTATCTCTGGTTGAAAGGACAACTCGCAACATGTGATGGAGAAGTTACCTGGGAACGAGTGACGAAGATGATCACTAAAAAATACGACACCCAGGTACAGAAGTATAGAGCTATGCGTAGAGTCGTGAGATTGCAACAAGGCAAGAATGAATCAATTGACGCTTATATTTTGAAATTCCAGCAATTAAGCCTTGAAGCCGAAATGCCTACAGGCTTATTGTTGATTATCATCTTTTTATCATCTCTTCAACCAACGGTGGGCGAACAAGCCTTGCTGGTGATCGTGAACCAATATGGCCGCAAAATGCCTGAAGATCTTGAAGAGGTTGGACAATTGGTATCCGGTTTGAAAATTACCGATATTGGTGAGCGGCGAACAAGAGAAGAAAATACGTTTAATGAAAAGCGTTATGGTCGCTATGGTGCCAAGAAGTTTAAACCATGGAAGTCCAAAAATTGCGATCATTGTCATCGTCCATGGAAACCTGGACATCGATGTCAAGAATTTTTCGACGATAAAGACGCCAAGCGTAAGCAATTTGTGAACCGAGCAGCACGCTTGGATCATGCCGATGAGCAGATTGACACTTTACCTTGTAAGTCACATGGCTCCACTAAACAAAAGGAATCGGATGAGATACTTACGCCGATTATGGTAGAAGAGCATAAGATAAAAGCACTTTTGGATACAGGTGCTAACTTTTCAGCATTGGATATTAGTTTTGTGCAATCAAAAGAAATAAAGTATGAAAAAGCCTATGGTAGTATTACATTGGCATCTAGTGGAGTAACAATTTCTGGTATTGGTATCACTGCTCCTTTAAAGGTGACTTATAAAGGAAACACACATCAAAGACAATTTGAAGTAATGGAGCTACCACGAAAACATCCTATGTGTATAGGAATGGACTTCATGTTTGAATTAGGCATTGGGTATACAGGTTTAGCTACATCTTGGGATCCACCATCCAAAACAGTAAATGATGAACCCAATGATACACCATACGAACCTGGTGATGCACCAGCGGGCACAACAGCTGAAATGCTTAACTTTCATCAGGCTATACAACACGATTTAGAAAGCAATGCCAAGATTCCGCCTGGGGCTTTTTGTAATATCCCCGAATCCATAATTGAATTGAATACACCTGAAGGTGTTTCTTGTTATAGAAGACAATATGAATTTCCTCTTACAAGACGTAAGATAGTAAAAGAAACAGTTGAACAATGGGAAAAAGAGGGCACCATTAAAGAAGTTCCTGCCAACATAGACAATAGGTGGAATAGCCCTCTAACCTTTGCTCCAAAAAAGGATGCAACAGGCAAGAAGGTAGGTGTCCGATTGTGTCTAGATCCTAGGCACATTAACCGCCACCTGCCTCACGACCGTTATCCCTTACCTTTGATCCGCAATATATTTCAACAACTCGCGGGCTCCACTGTTTTTAGTACATTAGATCTTAAAAGCGCTTTTCATCGCTTTTTAATACATCCTAAAGACCAGCACAAGACCACATTCACATCGGTGGATGGTAGACAATTTATGTTTGTGGGTTGCCCTTTCGGACTTAAACCCATTTCCGCTAAGTTCCAAAGAGTAATGCAGATTTTATTTGCTGGTTTGCCTTTTGTAACTACGTTTGTGGATGATATCGTAATTTATTCTCGCACACTTAATGAACATGTTAACCATGTACGTATATCACCTGAACGGCTCACTAAAGCCAACTTACTTTTGAATCCAAATAAATGCCATTTCGCACAACGAGTCGTATACTTATTGGGCTTCCGTGTCTCTGCACATGGTGTCACTTTGGACTCTCGCAAAGTTACGAATGTATTAGAATGGTCCACACCAGTAACTGGTAAAGATATACAACGCTTTTTGGGCATAGTAAATTATTTTAGGGACCACATCCCCAATGTTGCACGCTTGACCGCCAAGTTAGATGCTCTTCGCCATGCTGGCAACTTACGTTCCTTATGGACTCCTGCACACGATTTAGCTTTTCGCAACATTAAGTATGCTGTCTCCCATGCTCCTATGTTAAAGCATGTTGATTTACGTTTACCCTTTCACTTGGCCACGGATGCCTCGAACGAAGGCATCGGTGCTGTTTTGTATCAGCAACAATATGGTCAAAACAACATCGTGGGGTTCATGGCTCGTGCACTTAGCAAATCCGAACGTAATTATTCTGTCACGAAGCGTGAATTGCTGGCCATAGTCTTTGCTCTTAAGAAGTTTCATAAGTTTTTGTGGGGCACCCCTTTTACGCTTTATACCGATCATAAAGCTCTTATGTACTTACACACACAAAAAGACCCCAATCCCAAGATGATTCAATGGTTGGATACTTTGCTGGATTATCAATTTAATGTCGTTTACTTGCCGGGCATCTCCAATATCTTACCCGATCACTTGTCGCGCCTGTTTTCTTCCCCGACACAGACGCTGGAGGGGGGTAACAATGGTACGAATAATACACGAATGATGCGAGCAGTCGATCTGGTCGATATGCTTCAACCACCTGAGAGTGAAAGAAAAGACATACTTAAAAATGCACACCTCTTTGGTCATTCCGGTGCTGAAGCAATAGTACGAGCTGTGCATAATAACGGCATACACTGGCCTAATATGAAGCAACAAGCAATAGACTTAGTACGTGCATGCAAAGAATGCCAAAAATACAACATTGCCCAAAGCGGCTACAATCCATTAAGACCCATAAGGGCATATGTTCCTGGCGACCACTGGGCCATAGATTTGGCAGGTCCAATGACAACAACACAAAGAGGAAACAATTACCTTGTCCTTGTAGACATATGTACACGATTTTGTATTCTTCGACCTATACCTGATAAACAATCCCATACCATTGTGGCAACCTTAATACAGGTATTCTGTGACTTTGGGCTGCCACGCATTTTACAATCGGATAATGGGACCGAGTTCGTTAATCAATTGATGCAGCATTTTAAGAGAGCTGCTGGATTTGACCATCGCCTGGTAACACCCTACCATCCAAGGGCTAATGGGGTTGCAGAGCGATGGGTGCAATCATCCATAAAAGCAATAAAGAAAAGAGTACAAGGAGTACACAAGGATTGGGACGTCTATGTCCCAGCTGTACAATTGGCTTTAAATGCCAAAGTGAGCACACGTTTAAACACACCTCCTTTTTCTTTGATGTTTGCAAGGAAACTTAATAACTTTAATGATTATCGTAATGAAGAAAAGTTGTCGCCAATGTCACGTAAAGATTTATTGCAACGTATTGAGGATATGACAAAAGTAGTCTTTCCAGCCATTGAACAAAGGACCGTTGCCATAACAACAGGTCAAAAGACCAAGTTTGATAAGAAGCATCGCCTAATAGACTTTCCAATTAACAGCCATGTCATGAAAAGAGTCCTTCAGAAGAAAGGCAAATTATACCCGGACTATGATGGTCCATACACAGTTGTACGAAAAACAAAAGGCGGCTCTTATGTATTAAAGGATGAACGAGATCAGCTGTTACCCATTGATATACCACCATCTCAGCTAAAGCTTATATCGCAAGACGAAATTGCGCCCGTTGAAGATGTATATGAGGTGGATGCCATTGTGGCACATAAACAAGAGCCAGACGGCAACTATTTGTATAAAGTGAGATGGAAGGGATACTCACCCGATGATGATACGTGGGAACCTTACCATCATTTTACTCATCCTAACATTATAACTGCGTACTGGGAACGGCTTGGTCTACAACAACCAAATAATGAAAAAGATGCATCCCATGATGCGACACAACATACGTCGACGAAACGTAAAGCCCCTTCTGAAGTTGCCAGGTCATTAAGAAAAAGACGACGTTAAAGTTCAGGAACGGCAACAGCCTGGAGGGGGTGATGTTGTGTCAAGATACCGAAGATGTTTATCATCCCATGAATAACATACCCATTCTTTGTTTATGCGCATAACACCATTACCCATACATCTATGAAACCCTTGTTTACTTTCATCACTATAAAAGGATCCTACTTGTAATAAACATACGGCATCAGTCTCACAGTACTTGATCTTGTATCTTTGTTTTTCCAAACGTCTCAAACGTATGTACTTCGCAATGCAAATGGCGATATTGAACCTCGCAACTATCCGCCATCCGTTTTAAAGTTGATATCCCATGATAACGTTATACCCTGTGATGAATTCTATGTCATTGATCGTATTGTTGCCCATAAGGAAATAAGACCTGGAGTCTATAAGTATAAAGTACGTTGGCAAGGATACGACGAATCAGATGATACATGGTAGCCGGAAAGGAATTTTACCCAAAGAAGGACAATTCTTAACTATTGGAAACAACTAGGCCAACAGCCTAAGCAACCTAAATCCAAGTAAACGTATGCCTCTTTTTATCCTTAGTAAATCTTAATAGATGCCTTGGTTTAATACCCACCTGTTCCTAGCTGCTTGTTCCTAGAGGTACACAAGCGACCTGGCAGGGAATGATGTGGTAGACGCCAATGATAATCAAGGGTTCTTAACAGCGACTTGGGTTTGATGATGATGATCGGTCGCTTGTCTCAGATTATACCCTTTGCTTGAGTATGCTTATAGTAATGATACCCTTAATGAATGATTACATGAATGAAACGCATGAACAATATCTGACACCAACATGGGCACTTCCACATGATTATATAAGTAGGATAATGGTTAGGTGAATAAACTTCAGGTCCAATATACTTCTTGTTTCTTTATTGTGTTATTGTGATTTCTATTACTGTGCCCACAGGTTGCCTTCTACCAGGATGTGATCCACCACGTACTGGAATCGTTTCAGAGTCGAGCAACTCATTGGTATGACGAATATGTTCAAGGCGTTCGAGTTCCTCATCATCTTCATAGAGCAATTCAAGTATACGACGAGTAAACAGAATAAGAAAGAGAAAGAGTGAAAAGAGTTGGTGTGTTGTACAAGGTTTGATTATTTGATCTGAGGCAAACAAAGATGAAAATAGTAATAAAGCAAAGGAACAAAAATAGGAAGTCTCTTTGAGATTGATGTTTATTCTGAAGACGATGCTCCAGTGCTTTTATATCTTAATTCTAATATCGTGGGTGTAGTATGCTGGTAGAGAAGGATGAAGAGATGATGAGTGTGGTGATGCATGTAAATGTGGTCGTATTGGATCATGCGTACGTATGGTGGAAAGTGGGTGAGATGTAAAGATCCGCATGTGCTTGCATTGTTATGATGGATAATGTTTAACCGATAATCTCAATGTCACTTGATATACGTGTGCACCACATTAAGAACGTAAACGCTTGCTTTTGCGTGTTGAAGTGTTGGCGTTGGGTAGTGATCTCTTGCGTACATGTTTCTCTGTGTCAGTGTGTTGGGTTATGTTGCCATCGATGGAAGAATCGTGTGGTGGTATACGGCCAAGCTTGTTCCAATACTCTGCAATAGGTTGTGTGCTGTTGAATGATTCGGGTGGTTCCCAAGTATCATTTGCTGAATAACCTTCCCATCGTACCCTGTACATGTAGTTGCCGGGTGCAAGTTGTTTGTGATCCACAATAGATTGAATGGTGTAATATTGGCCTTCATGTTCATATAGCTCGTTGACGTCCAGCAATTCATCTTGTGATACCATTTTCAACTGTGATGGTGCAAAGTTTCTGGCTGCGAGTAACCCTTGTTCATCTCGAAGAACGCAAGAGCCACCTGGAGTTTCCCTGACGACAGTGTAAGGTCCTTTGTAACGTGGATCCATCTTCTTACTGCGTTACACATCTTTGACCATGACCTTGCTGTTTGGAGGAAAATGTACCATCTTGTACTTAGCGTCATGTTTACCTTTCTTGAGCTGTTGTAGTGCCTGTGCTCTCTCTGATATTGCCGGGAAAACTGTATTGGACATGTGATCAATGCGATCCATCAGCTCTTCTTCGGTGAGTGGCTGTGGTATATCATCATTGTTGTAATTACGGAATCCATTCATGGCGCGATTGAACATCAAGGCGAAAGGTGAAGACCCATGTATACTGGCCACTTTGTTGTTGAGTGCTAGTTGAGTTGGTTTGACGTATAAATCCCAATCTCTTGTGGCTCCATTAATGCTTTTGCGGATTGTGTTGATAGACGTTTGGATGAAACATTCAGCCAATCCATTAGCTCGTGGGTGATAAGGTGTAGTAAGTCGATGATCAAAACCTGCGGTATCCCTTAACTTCTGCATTAAAGTGTTGACGAATTCAGTGCCATTGTCAGATTGTAGATAGCGAGGGAATCCATAATCGCAAAAAGTGTCGATAACCGCTTTAACAACTGTGTCAGACGTTTTATCCGTAAGGGCGTGTAATACGCAAAAACGTGTGCATACATCTACCATAACCAAGATGTAAAGGTTGCCATTATGACTTTTGTCGAATCCACTAGCAAGGTCGATAGCCTAATGGTCACCAGGAAGAAATGCATGTATAGGACGTAAAGGTTGATAGCCTTGTTTTGCAATGTTGTTTTGTTGACACTGTGTGCAAGCGTGTACAATCTCTTGTGCTTGTCGATGCATGTTGTTCCATTTGAGTCCATCTTGCTGTAATTGTGCGACCATAGCCTTTGCTCCAAAGTGTCCGAAGGCGTGTGCGTCTTTCAACATTTCCTTACATTGATGAGCATCCTTAAGCAGTTGTCTACGTTCGTTTTCAGGAGGTTCAAAATATAAGTCATCATCCTGTTCATCACTGCTGTCATTGTTGCCTTGGTTACCTGTAACGTGTATGGCGTTGTTTTGTGTGGATGTTTGTTTGTCGTGTGATACATTGCCCCCTGCCAGCTCTTTTTCAGTGGGAAAAAGGCGAGATAGTTGATCACGTAGGGTGTTGTCCAATCCAGGAATGTGCACGACATCGAATGAGTATTCGAGAATAGTATCCAGCCAATTGATCATCACGGCGTTAGCCACTTTTTGTGTGTGAATATAGACCAGCGCTTTGTGATCTGTACACAAGGTGAAATGATTGCCCCATAAGTATTGATGGAATTTGTTGAGGGCGAAGATGATAGCAAGTAACTCACGTTTTGTGGTGGAATAGTTGCGTTCAGAAGGAGATAAAGATCGTGCCGTAAAAGCGATGTGATGTGTTGTGCCATCGATAATCTGATAAAGTACAGCTCCAATCCCTGTATTTGATGCATCGGTTGCCACTTGGAAGGGATGTTTGAGATTTGGATAGCTGAGAATAGGTGCGTGTAATAACACACGTTTGAGGTCGATAAAAGCTGCTTGCGCGCTGTCATTCCATAAGTCGTCTAAACGGTGCTCAAGTCGTAGCTTGTTGAGAGGTGCCATCCTCGAAGCTGCATTGGGAATTGATTCACGAAAGTAGTTGATAACACCAAGAAACCGTTGTACGTCTTTGCCAGTGCGAGGTACCGGCCACTCTTGAACATTTGCCCCCTTGCGAGGATCCAAACCAATTCCTTGTGCTGATACACAAAGTCCAAGCAAGTAGACTGATTCTTGAGCGAAATGACACTTGTTGGGGTTGAGGATTAAGTTGACGCTGGTGAGACGTTCAATAGCTTCAGCTACGTGTTGAGCGTGTTCCTCAAGTGTGTTGGAAAAGATGATGATGTCGTCGACAAATGTGAGTACATGTGGAAGATCATGGAAGATGATGTTCATGGTGCGTTGAAATGTTGATGAGATAGGCTTGAGTCCAAAGGGACAACCGCGAAACATGAGTTGTGGATGCCCGGGTACAGTGAATGCTGTTTTAGGGCGGTGTGGCTCATAAATCTCGAATCGATGAAAAGCTTGCTTTAGATCCAATGTTGTAAAAACTGTAGCTCCATTAAGCTGTCGGAAGATGTCTTTGATGAGAGGAAGTGGATGACGATCCGGGCTGACAAGTAGTTTGTTGATATGCCGTGGGTCTAAGCATGGACGCTTGTCTGTGTAGTTGCCAAATAGATCTTTCTTAGGTGCTAACGTGAGAGGACTATTCCACATAGTGTGAGGTGGTGCTTCTTCAACAATACCATCACTCAACCACTGTTGTACCTGTTCTTTGATCGTGTCTTGGTATACGATGGGTAGCGTGTGTGATCGAGTGGAATAAAATGGAATGAGATTTCAAAAGACGAGACAATGATAAGTCAAGTGAGACTGAAGATACCCTTTATTCAATGAAGACGTCCACTCTTTTATACTAAATGATTGATCCTGCTATAACCTGATTCTCCCACGCCCTCACACCATGATTAGTAACGATGATGGTATTCTCGATATACCCATAATCTTACGTACGCGTCTGTGCCCATGTACCTCACAGCCATATAGGATAAGATTTATGCGTGAGAGAATGTAGGTGTGACAAACATGAGATGAGAAGGAGAATTAAATGACAGCTGTGGGAACCACTTTATGATGATTAAGCTGTGTCTACGACAGCGTGTATTGTCTTCGATGCGAGACTACGCCTTCTTCCGTGTCGAGGTGTATAACCGATTCAGGTACGGTGCAAAATGAACGTGGTGGAATCAGAGCATTGCGATCGACTGTTGGTTGAACAATGTCAAAGAAAGCGTTACGTTGTGAGGAAGAGCCTGCTGGGGACTCGTTTGGTGGGGGTACGTCATTTATCTTTTCACTGGTGTTGGGTGGTTGCTTTTCCCACGCTACGGCAAGATCTGTGATACCAATTCCAAGCTTGGGCATAAGGTCAAGGCCAATGGTTACCGGTGCTTCCCCTGATAATTCCATAACTAAGAAATCGTGTATACGTTGTTTGCCATCATATTGTAAATGAACATTTTGTGCTAAACCATGCAATACGGCTTGTGAGCCATTTTGTGCGAGAAATACAGTTGTATATTTGATAACATCTTTATTTAATACTGCTTTGATTTGATGAGCTAATGTTGGGGTGATGAAGGAGGTGGTGGCTCCCGTATCCACTAAGGCCATGACTTGTTCAGTCTGTATGGTGATAGGTACAAATAATGATTGAGCAGTGTTAGTAAATGCTCCTTTAGCAGTGTGTCAGGTGTGTGATTTACCGGAAATATCCATTTTCTCAAGGTTAATGGGCAAAAGATGGTCGATGATAGCTTGATCGCGCGAGGATGTCGTGTTGACATGTGTGCTACGGTTGTCGACAACTTTCTTTTGTTGATGATATTCTGGGCATGTATGTCCACGATAATAAGAGACCTTCTTGCAATAGTGACAAAGCTTTGGTGTTGTGGCCTTGTGCGAAGGCGCATGTTGAGAAACATCTGAACGACTTTTGTTGATGTGACGAAGGACTTGACATTCACTTGCAGAGTGGCTGCCCTTGGGATGCACAGGGCAATTGCCATAGTGTAGTTTTTTGTATGTGCCTTCTTGAGTACCCATGTGTTGACGCTTACGTCTGATAGGTGTCCATTGCTCGTGATCGTACTCCATGTATTCACCTATAGAGCCAATAGCCAATTGGGCTACTTCATTGATGGATGCAGGCAGGTCCAACTCAAACTTGGTAGCCAAGATCGGCCAAATAGTCTCCCATACAGGCCTCAACAAGGAATTGACGTAGTTAAACGTGGTTTGGGGACTAGGCTCACAGTTGGCCTCAAAAGCCAATTCTTGCCATTCTTCAGTGTGAAGCTTGAGTGATTGACCTGGTCGCTGAAATTTTCTTGACAACTCATATTGCTTGTGTTAGGTATACAAGGGGTTCCCGTACATCTTCTGGATCTCCTTTTTTGCTTGATCCCATGTGAAGTGGTTACCAGCAAGGCGTTTGGCGGCCCATTGATGTTGTTGCGAATCAAGAGTAGTCCATATCAAGCGTTCCCAATGGCGGTTCAAGTTGAGCGGGCGACTTCTCAATTGGGCTTCGAAGCTGGTAAAAAATGCTTGTACTGATTCATGCACGACCTTGTTCGCGTCTCTCATGGGACCACCTTTTATCTGTAGCATCGGCATGTTTGAAGGCACGATTTGGTCTTCCTTGTTGCTACTTGTGTTGGCGTAAACGTTGGCCAAGGTACGCTGATAGATTGCTCTTGCTTCTTGTGCTTGAAAGTGCTGATGCATGGCTTCCTCGTGTTCAGTTCTCGATTTGCCTTGTGTTTGCAAAAGGTTCCTGGCCGTGTGTTCAACACGCTCATTCAATTGAACAAGAACGGAATCAACTTGTGGGTGTCTTGTTGTTGCTTGTGTGTTTGAATTTGAAACAGGAGTTTGTGTTTGCGTGGCACCAGAACCTTCATCAGCTTGCTGAGTCTCTTGTACATTGTTTTGAGGCGTGTCTTGAGATGCCTCACCCATGTCATGATCCTCTTGACGTTGTTCCTCCTATCTTTGATTCACAGGTGCTGGATCATCAGGAGGTTGGCTTCTTCTTGCGGATGATGATCTTGTAGTGCGATTGGTCATGGTAAGGTAGGTGATTGAAAGAATAAACAAAGGTTTTCAAAGAGAAAAAATGAGGTAAACAAAGATGAAAATAGTAATAAAGCAAAGGAACAAAAATAGGAAGTCTCTTTGAGATTGATGTTTATTCTGAAGACGATGCTCCAGTGCTTTTATATCTTAATTCTAATATCGTGGGTGTAGTATGCTGGTAGAGAAGGATGAAGAGATGATGAGTGTGGTGATGCATGTAAATGTGGTCGTATTGGATCAAGCGTACGTATGGTGGAAAGTGGGTAAGATGTAAAGATCCGCATGTGCTTGCATTGTTATGATGGATAATGTTTAACCGATAATCTCAATGTCACTTGATATACGTGTACACCACATGATCAACTCAGATATAGAGCCTAACCATCGTGAAATTTGGCATTTTTATCGCCATCGTATGAAAGCACCCGAGGTTGTTACACCAAACTTAGCTCCCAACCGTTGGAGATGCTCTTATCATGCTGAGTATCAGTTTCCCACTGTGTATCATCTAATCATTTTATTTAGCACGTTGTTGATGATTGGCGAATTGATCAACTTACCGGTGAACTCCGAATCATCATGGTCAAGGTCATCGCGTTCACATTTGACCTCCGTATACATGAATTCTTCCTCTATACTCTCAGAGGAACCGATCTTTTCAAAGGATACCTCCTTCAATGCCTTCACCAACCCTCCTCAAAGATCACCTGCATGCTTACGACGAAAAATAAATTCGGCCAGGCGATACTTCATTGTTGGGGCAGTTCGGTGGCGAGCGCGAATCATGGACTTGATGTCATTCCAGGTGCCTAATCATAAGGTGGTCAATATGTGTGTAATAAATAGATGGAACTAAAAGGAACGATACCTTCAATTGTGTTGGTATGAATACCTGATGCGGTCTTAAACTCCTTAGCATGGTTCACAATCTGATGATGGTAACTGAGATATTTGGATATGAAAACAAGATAAAGTACTTTGAGAATCAATATATCTTATTTTCAACTGCTGTTGCCAGCTACAACTACAACATGACTTATACACGTTTCTATGATACTTGTGTGATGATGCTATATGGAAATAGGATGTACATATGAGGATGTTGGGGATATACGAAATGATAGATAGAGTTGATGGGGCTCGTTGTGTGATGAACCTTGAGTGTATGTGTGTGAATGTTACATGTGGTGTTCTCTTGTGGGATAAGTGTGGTCGTTGTGATACCATGGGTTGTCATCTTGTACTTGGTGATGGATCTTACATGTATTGGTACTTGGAATACGACAGTAACGTTCACCGGGAATTCGTGACCACCCGTTGTACCCCTTCCAGCGATCTGTACGAATGTCACTGCCTTCCTTGATGTCGAGGTATCTTTTGACATGATCCCAAGCTCACATGCTTCTTGGGCGACTTTGTGGTAGACCTCTTACTTGATCGGTTGCTTGACTCACATACAATGAAACAAAGTCATTGTCTTAAACAATCACGCATTAATACCCTCGGTGCCTCGGCACAATAATAATAAAACATGTCTCATGTCTCATCCAAAAGTATATAAGACCATTAGATAGCTTTCTTGAATAAACGTCATTCTCACAAGATCCCTTTTATTGTTATCTGTGTTTGATTTAACTTCTTCTTTTCCCCAAAGATCACATTTTTTTCTTGTGAATTCTGACAACAAACCATGTCCAACCAAGACCAAACCCAAAACAATCATCAAGAAGACGTACCTATGTCTGAAGGATCCATTCCACCATCGGCTGCTGGCTCAGCTTTTACACCAGATATGGAAGATGCTCGTCAAGCGGATATCTCGGGTCAATTGGGTGTTGATGCTACTCCGCAACAAGTCATGCAAGCATTGGCCAACATGATCCAAGCTATGGATATCACCATCACTGATCTTGCCACTGGTGATAACCAACATCTGTTTCAAGAAATCACTCGTCAGCGTGATGAGTATGCTCAGCGACTTGCTGTATTGCAACGTATCAATGCTCAAGAAACAGCACAACAAGTGTAGCATTGCAGGTCCCATATCAATCGTAGATAGATAAGGATAGCAAGCTACTAAATGGGATACATGAAGGTCGTCTTACTTACAGTCAAGAGAGATTCGGTGGAAAAAGACTGTCGTTGTCGGGTCGTCGACAACACTTGTATTTATACACATACATCTAAACTACGCTAAAGCTATATCGTATCTAAGACATGAGCTCGTCTATAATCGTAATGTCGTAATCTCAGTGAAACTAGCGTATCTTGTAGTTGTGAATGCTACATTTACAGCATCAAGGTCGGGCTCATTGTTTGTATCAGCAGCATCATTTGCAATGTTTGCATCAGCTTGCTCGATAGGAGAAGGAATCGGAGGTGATGATGATGATGGTTCGGTAACAACAACAGGTGTGGATGGATTATGATTTGGTGAGTCGTTGTTGCGGGATGATCAGGCGGATGAAATTGGAAGCCCTGTATATGATGCGCTATGCTCATGCTTGAGTTTAAGATTGTCGTAGCGTCGTCGAAGGAGGTACATATGTTTGCAAGCGTGTTTGGTTTGTTGCAGCAAGAAACTAAGGCATGAGCATGATTGAATTTTGTTGCCAACGGTTACAAGCTGTAGGATAGGCTATGGGTAGCATCATCATTAATAAAATATGAATAAATACACTCACGTCGTATTTGATGGCATTGTTATTGAACGATGCTACTTGGTATTTGCCATCTTCAACAAACGTAATCTTTAGCATCATCATTTCTTCATCCATCCTCTGCGCCTCTCGTACTTGTATGACGATTTCACGGTCTTGGTTAGTTATACGACCGAGCTTGTATCCACGACGTTGGACTTCATGCTTCAAATCCGCTTCGATGTCATGCGCGATCAAATGTAACACGTGGTCAAGGCGATGAACCCGGTAGCGTTTAAGGTACACGGTTTTCAATTGGTTGTGCCAAGACTCAACGTAATTGTTGGTCGCCATGTTGTCGTACATCACAGGCTGATGACAAGCCGTCCAATTCACATAGTTGCTATCATCGATCCAATTGCTTATGAAATATGCGAAGAACTCTTTTTGGCGATTCTTCCACTTGCTCTTGAACTGCTTCCAGTGTCGTTGGAAAGTTTCCTGGTCACGCTCATACATCATTATCTTGAGATCGCCACGCAAAACAACCAAATCATCCTTCCTCTTTTTCGCCTTGCCAGATGCCTTGGCGTGATACTGCTTGATCCATGCACGAAAAACATGCCACGTACAATATTGGATGCTGGCATCATGATCCCAAACAGTTTCAATTGCCTTTTTCTCCACAAGGCTGCGGTCTATTGTTACCTTTTTTGGCTTAATGCCCATGGCCTTCAAGTCAGCAAACCATTTCACCAAAGGTACATGCGTCTGATCCGTTGTAAAAAAGTAGCTGATAGGCACACCACGATCAGCTTCTGGATGCCGTATCACAATTGTGTACAACAAGCCATTTAGATATCCTGTTGCATGGTATGTGGCATCAATGGACAAAAACATGCCGTACTGGAAAAGATGTTTCTGCCATGGTGATGAGACGGCAAAAGAAAAAGACTTGTTCTCAAGTCGTGCATATCGCCAAACAGAAAAGGATTGCTGCTCAAGTTCCGTAAGCCAAATGTTGACAGACGTAAGATCATCAGCATGCTTTTGATAGCGGTTGACGCGCCATTTGTGGATAACGTTGTATACATCAACAGTGCCAATGTTCTTGGCATGTTCGGTAAGTGGTAGAGAGCCCTCCTTTTTCTGCAAATGCAATCGGATTTGACGTACATCCTCCATCTTGCCTCCATCCAGGAGATCTCGGATTTCTTGTGCCACATGTTTGGATAACGACATCATCCGTACTTCTTCAATCGATCCAGGCTCACAGCCATGCGAATGCTCTTTTACGAATACCGTGAACTTGACGTCTTCCTCAGGATGAAAATAGATTTTCAGCCGCCCTTCACAAGAAACCTTCTTGCTCTCCTTTTGTACAGAACGAGGCTGCTCAGAATCACCACCCTCGTCACGGTCATTGCGTTCTTGCTTGACACCAGAACGGTGGCAACGGAATAGCATGTTCCATTTCCATGATGCTGTACGACGGCGCTTAGGAGCAGGCGGGGTGACATACACAATGTCAGCCATCATGCCGCAAACCAATCTTTACATGTACTACCTGAATTATCATCATCCTTCCCATCACCTTCTTTCTCAACAAAGTTGTATTTGCGTACATAGATCCATTCTTCCTTGGTCTCATAACGCATGTTCTTGACTTCTCTCTTTGCCTCCTCCATCGTAGTGGCATTCGTGACATCGAAGTACGGATCGGCAACATTCGGATCGTCGTCAAGGCGATGGTCAATGGAGAGTCATTCATGTTTTTCAGGTTGAGCATTCGAGTCGTTGTCAGACATTTTAAAGGACAAGTACAACGTACAAGACCTCGCACACCACGACTCAATAAAAACCTTTTTCGTGTTACAACACATCTTCTATAATATCTCATATCTTTATTGTACCATCATTTCCTATATCCCACTATGTATTGCATATTCCAAGTTACCCTTTACCCGTTGCACTAATACTACAACTACACTGAATAACGACAATGTGTGTACTGCAACCAGTATCATCCTATATCCCTTGACTGTAATAAACCTGCACCAGCAAAATCATCATGGGTAGATAATAAAGGTGTATGATGGTACGAGCCGTTGTCGACGTTTTTGCTGCTGTCACTATTTTTCCTTGTATTGTCCATGTTGGCTCTGCTTGCTCCTTTTGCCATTCGCTCCATTGGTTCGGCTGCTGGTTGTAGATGGCGTGTCAAGATCGAGGCCAAGATCCTTCCAAGTTGACAATGGCGTAACATTACGAGAACGGGTCTTTTTAGTTGAAAGCGTGTTTATTGCTGTATGAGTAGACAAATATACAACTGCTGGAATAAAGCTGTTTACGATCGCAACTTGGTAATCCGTACATCTTGAATCTGAAAGGTTGGAAGGTAAAAGGAGAGGGACACTTACGCTGGGGGCTTTGCTATTTGCACCATGTCAATACACCATGTCAATTTTAAATCCAGACGGCGGCACCATGTCCCCCTCATTCAGTTGGCGTTTTTTGTCTGTGCACCATGCAAGCGTTTATTTGTTTAGAGTCATTCACTAGCTAATACGATGATAGAATTGCATACAACCTCTCAATAGACTTCTCTCAATAAACATACTTTCGCCATTAGCGCATTCACCCCGAGATTGTTGCCGATTTGACATAGATGGGACATTCCGTTTACATAGATCTCGTGTGCAGCAACGAACGCTGACTACTTTTGTTGGATACGCGAAGCTTGCAATAAAACTTTGTTCCTTGAACACAAACCAATTGACCCACTCACTTCGATTGTCCCCATTGTCCCTTTAACAACTTTGCGATTCCATTTCATAATGCCCAGCAACGACATGTCCGCTCAACATATTCCTGAAGAGCTTAAAAAAGAATGGTGTGGTAGCGAGGCCGCTTTTGGTGACATTGAAAAATGGGCCAAAGCAAATGGGATATCGGTGCATGTTGAAAGAAGCTCCCAAAAGGGGATGAACAAGTACATGTTTATTGTATGCAAGCATTATCGTTCCCCTCGCAACAACAAGGAGCGTGACGTGGCTGGGACAATGACTTATCATGCCGACGCTCAGGGCAACATCACTGCCACTAGCCGCGAGATCAAGCAACGAGAAAAGCTGTCAGAGCGTTGCGAATGCCCATTTCGATTGTACGTGAGACCGAAGACCCACGACAGCATCATGTGGCGTATCACTACCATGACCGAGAATGAGCATAATCATCCTATCAAGAAGGATATTGCATCTTATCCTATGCATCGTCGTCTTCGTGGTGATAATTTGAAAAGGGTTATCGATATGATCAGACATGGTACCAGAAATGCTACTATTGCCAGTGTCATGACCGAGAATGGGCAGCCTTTTATAGCAAAGCATATCGCCAATATACGCCAAAAACTTTTCAACAACGACCCTGATCGTGCCATGTTCAATTTGATTACGTCGCTTGAAGATCATGGATATGAAGTTCGATATGATGCAGAACGTGAAGGTGATAAAGCATACCTAAAGTCGATATTCTTTGCCTATACGAATGCTATCCAATTGGCACGATCCTTCCCAGAAGTTGTCTCCATGGATGCTACGTATCGTACAAACAGGATGAAAATGCCATTTATCAATGTGGTTGGTATTGGTAATGTCGGCTATCCAGCTTTGAAATCATTTGCAATTGCAGGTCGATGGCTTTTAAATGAAGACAATGACAGCCACATGTGGTTTGCCAACACATTGAAGACTGTTGTTTATCCAAGTGGCCAAGAGTCAACACCAGGAGTCATTGTGACCGACAGTGAAGGCGCATTGATCAATGCACTTGACAATGCCTTCCCACAAGCAGCAAAGATGCTACGCCAGGTACATTTAGAGCATCTCCAATGGTGGAGCTAAGTGCCAAATTGACTCCGATTTTACACGGTCTGATCCCCAATGGTGGAGTCAAGAGCAGAGTCAATTTACACGGCGAGTCAAAATTTCTGCTAAACCGTGTAAAATAGACGGCGCCGACTAAACCGTGTAAATACCGCGTCACATCTTTTATGCTATCTCCTTTAACCATATCAACACTTTCTAAGCATTACGTTATCTTCTTTAACCATAATAATAAATGGTTATAATTCAATATATATATATGCATTGTGTCTGTGAAGTGGACCTTGACTCTTAAACTTCTCTTTTATTATGTCTGGCAGCAACCCTGAATCTACTACTTACCCTTTCGCATCTCACCCTGAACCTACCCTTTCTCGATCATCGTCTTTGATGTCAATGGATAGCCCTTCACCTGCTGAAAATGATCCATCATCTTCTGCCTCATCAAGATCAAGATTTAGAGGAAGAGGTCAGACCAGGTCACTTAACGAGGAAGTCTCTTTATGTCAAGCCTGGGTCCATATTTCCGAAAATCCTGCCATTGGTACCGGCCAAAACAGAACTGGCTTTTGGAAGTCTGTTCATGACCATTGGCGCTCGATTGTTGATAATCGTAGTCCTGTACGTTCGATTGAATCATTGGAAGCACGGTGGAAAGTTATCCAGTACGAAGTCTCAAAGTTTATCGGCTTCGTTGAGGCGGCTAAAGGTCGCAGTGGATGCAATGGGGCTGATGAGGTATTACAAACAATGCTGATCCAATGATGATACTTATTATTCGCAATTATAGATCAATGCTGCCCGTCAACTATTCCGTGAGAGCACAGCAGCAGCTGGAAAACCAGGAAAGGAGTTTCAGTTCATGCATTGCTATGAGTATCTCAAAGAATGCCAGAAGTTCAGCACTCGATATATACAAAAAACGCAGCCAGCAGTTGTCGAGTCGGTCGCAGATGAAGTGAGGCCAATGGGAAACAAGAAGGCAAAGGCCAAGCAAGCTGAAGAGCATGCCAACAAAAGAAAGGCCGACGAGTTGCTCGAAGTGCAACAGGAACTTTCAAAAATTGCACGCCAAAAGCTTGAAGTCGCCCAAGAAGCATGCGAGCTTGAGATTATGTCAAAAGATACCTCGACCATGAATCCTATCGCCAAGCAGTATTTTATGATGCGCCAACAGCAAATCTTGGACGTATATATGAAGAAGCAAATACAGTCTCAGTCCGTATCGAATGGTGATGGTGATGCTGGGTTCGATACACAATAGTCGAAGAGCTAGATAGTAGCCATAATGTGTGATAAAGTGATTTAAAAAAACAATGTAACTCAATCGTTTAAACGTTGTTATTGCCATAGCATTGCCAAAGATGCTCGATTAGATCATGTCTCAGCTGTAAATGGGCACTTCGATCCTTGATTTCTTCCCACCGTCTACAGTGACCCACAAAATTGTTCAAATGTTTTGTACTTTTGCATAAATCGTTTCCTGGCGCATTGCGATGCATTTAGAACATAGTGATGTTATACATCATTCGATAGCGTATCTAATTGGGCACACCATGCAATTCACGTGATGTGTGCAACATTGAAATTCATGCAGCTAGCGGGGAATCAATAGAGTCGATACACTTGAACAATTTTGAGGGGAACTAGAACATGTTTTATTAATACTTAGTATAGCCTCCTCTTGCTTTATAACAGGCTTCTATACGTCGTGGCATGCTTTCTATGAGTCTCTCACAGTATTCCTTCGTCATACACTTGTTCCAGGTATAGGAAACCCTTTCCCAGAACTCGGTCATGGACTTAGCAGGCTCATCATAGAGAAGCAACTTGCGTTTGAGCTCTGCCCACATATGTTCGATAGGATTGAGGTCTGGAGAGTACGATGGCCATGGTAGGACCTCAACACCATTATCCTGGAACCATTGGGTGGCTTTCCGGGACTTGTGCTTAGGATCATTATCATGCTGAAAGATGATGTCATTCACTTCAAGGCCGTAATATTCCAATGATTGCTTGAATTCATCATCCAAAATGCTGCAATAGAGGTCGGCATTCATGGTTCCTTGAATTTTGGTGATAAACCCGGGCCCTGACCAACAAAAACAGCCCCAGATCATGATGCTTCCGCCACCATGCTTATATGTATGGATAACATTGCGTTCACGTAATTTGCCATCAGGATCAATCCAAGTCCAATGAAGGCCATCACTTCCCAAACGGTTCACTTTTGTCTCGTCGCTGAAAACAACACGTTTCCAGTCCTCTACAGTCCAAGAACGATATGCTTGCGCGAACCGGAATCGTGCATTGCGACGCGATCGGGTCAATGGCAACACATTGGGCTTCTTAATTGCGGTGTAATTGAGACGCTTCATTTCACGACGAATCGTTTCAGCACTTGGGGTCACCTTGTTGGGGTAGGTAGCTCGGAGCTGACGGCTTGCGTCTTCAACACTCTTGTATTCGCCAGTTACGAGTTTCCGAATGACAACACGAATGTCATTGCTTGACATTATGCGCTTTCGACCAGCTCCATTAGGTTCAATGTCGACATTCAGGTCCTTTCGAATAGCTCGAATAGCTCCAAGGGAGACACCAGTGAGTGTAGAGATTTCGCGGTATGGTGTACCTTGTTGTAGAAGATGTTTCACATCCTCTTTCTTCTGGTTACTGATTGGACGCATAATAAAAGTTACTTATAAGTGAAGTCGAAGGGAAAAGGGCCTAGGCCATGCTCAAGGCAGTAAAAACTTTTATTAGTGGCTTATCAATAACATTATAAAGAATAAAGGCTCCACATGTTGTAGATGTTCATTTATGTAATATTGGTGAAGTACCCTCAAAATTGTTCAAGTGTATCGACGCTATTGATTCCCCGCTAGCTGCATGAATTTCAATGTTCCACACATCACGTGAATTGCATTATGTGCCCAATTAGATACGCTATCGAATGATGTATAATATCACTATGTTCTATATGCATGGCAATGCGCCAGGAAACGATTTATGCAAAAGTACAAAATATTTGAACAATTTTGTGGGTCACTGTACTATACTCTCCAAGGGTAACCGGATTTCTATCGATCGAAAGCAGTGGTACATGTTCTTCTTCCAGATCTTCAACAGGTTCAGCACATTCATCTTCAATAATCATGTTATGGAGGATGATGCATCCTCGCATAACATTGATCACGTCTCGATGCTTTGAAAGCCGTGCTGGATTGCGAACGATGAGAAATTGTTTTTGGAGCACTCCAAAAGCACGCTCCACATCCTTGCGAGCACCTTCTTGCATCTTGTTGTAGTGCTATGTACATAAGTTTCCAATCATTGATCAGGCTGATAGTATAGATAAACGTATGCCACGTAGACTTACCTCTTGCTTTCTACCAGCTGGACTACTAAAACTTTTCATCATGGTGGCCCAATCAGGATAAATTCCATCAGCAAGATAGTAGCCCATATGGTATTCGTGGCCATTGATGGTATACGTTGCCGAAGTGCTTTGCCTAATGCAATATTGTTAAAAGATCGGGTATTAGAAGCATTAAATGATTGATGGTTTTCACCTGAAGCAATGTTGTTGAAGAGATTTGATCTATGAAGGATGTTGAGATCGTTCAAAGATCCTGGGTGGCCAATACTGGCATGCCAGATCCACAAGTCATAAGAAGCAACAGCTTCTAGAACTGTGCTTGCATGCTTTGAGCGACCTGTGTAAGCACCATGCCAAGCAACAGGGCAATTGTCCCATTGCCAATGCATACAGTCAATGGAGCCGAGCATTCCAGGAAATCCCCTTGCTGCATTTTCTGAGAGCAACCGTTGGACGTCATGTTGGTTGGGTTGTCGCAAGTATTTGTCACCGAAGATGGTATTTAAGTTTTCACAAAACTTGATCAATGACTCCAAAGCGGTGCTCTCCGCCACTCGAAGATACTCATCAGCAGTATCTGCACCAATACCGTATGCCAATTGACGCATGACAGCAGTAGCCCTCACCAAAGGGGACAAACCAGGCTTCATAGCAGCATCATAGCGCTGAGTGAAAAGTGTATCGACCTTTTTCATCTCTTCGACTATGTATAAGAATAACCGCTTGGACATTCTGAAGCGTCTACGAAAGTGCTGTTCGGTGTAAACAGGCCTGGGAGCAAAGTAATCTCGCACTAAGCACTCATGTGCAAACTGATGGTTCCGGTAGATATACCTTCTACCAGGATGTGATCCACCACGTACTGGAATCGTTTCAGAGTCGAGCAATTCATTGATATGGCGAATATGTTCAAGGCGTTCGAGTTCCTCATCATCTTCATAGAGCAATTCAAGTATACGACGAGTAAACATAATAAGAAAGAGGAAGAGTGAAAAGAGTTGGCGTGTTGTACAAGGTTTGATTTATTTGATCAACTCAGATATAGAGGCTAACCATTGTGAAATTTGGCATTTTTATGGCCATCCTATGATAGGCACCGGAGGTTGTTACACCAAACTTAACTCCCAACCATTGGAGATGCTCTTACGCCGCAACTTCAAGCAAAATCTGAGCAAGCTCTTTACACCAACCTCTCAGTATGATGAGTTTGAAAAGCAGCTTAATTTCTTGATGGCAACCAAGCTTCGTGAAGCCCCTGGGTCGGACCGTTACCTAGTCCCCGATGTGAAGGCTGAAGAAGCAGCTATGAAGAAGATATGGGAAGCAGTGGATTTGATAAAGGAGGAGAAAGGGAAAGCAATTGCCACAGATTACATCAACAAGTAGGTTTTTTTTATCCTTTGTATCTTGTGGTTAGGTTACTGATTCCATTTTTCTTTACGATTATCCAGGAAGCTTGCTTTCAAGGAGAAAGGGTTGGACGATACGTCGCTGCACATCCACATCTAGGAACAACTAGCACCAATCGTACCGAAGGAGCTCATGCTGATCTGAAGAGGAATCTTAACGCTGCCAGCAATCTATTTGCCGCATATAAATCCATTGACCTATACTATAGACAAAAGATATGTTATGAGTCTGCACCTTACAATGATATGCTAATGAATTATTTCACATGTTGTAGGATAAATCATGGAACCAGCAATATGACAAGGAGACCCATGCCCATGATGGTCGTATGCCACAAGCCAAACGAGCACGTCTCGCAGCTTTGCGCAATAAGATTTCTTTATTTGCTTACAATGCCATCCGAGACGAGCTCGATTATTTGAATCCCTTGAACACTCTTTATTGTCGTTGCCCTATCCGCATTCATTTCAACCTTCCTTGTTGCCACCGCATCCCTCCGAGTGGTGAGATCCCTTTGTCCTTAGTGCCTCGACGTTGGCATCTTTTCCCAGAAGAGACTGCAACTGATTTAGGTGAGCTCGATAGTAACTGTTTTCATCGTCCATACTTATGTGCATTATCCTATATTCCTAGAAATCATTGGCAATGATTATGAATCGCAACACAACGCCAGCGATATCATAGCAATCACCCATCCACCTGTAGTCCCAACCATATTGGATCAAATCAGTGCCGAGTTGTCAAGAATCGAACATGTTAGTTACGAGCATAGCACTGGTCAACATCACCACCATATCCATCAACAACTTAAACCAATTCTTGAACAATTGAAGAATGTCAATGATGATGGATGTGTCGACCTTGAACATCTATTGCAACCAAAAAGCAAACCCAATGCCAAAGGCAACACCACCCGCTCTACAAAGCGTGGGCGAATCGGCTTAGAGATTCATCGAGATCTTGCTAAAAAGAAAGCCAAGGCACTCGCCGGGGTACAAGGAAGTCAAATGCGGTACGTGTGAATAACAATCATTTATTGATAGGATCACTAACATGATACGCATTATAGGCAAGAAAAGAAACCTGAAAGCCAACCTGAACCTACATCCGATCCTTTACCCAAAAGCCAACCAAAGCTGCGAATCATACCCAACTTGCAAATGGTGATGAGTAACATCCCTAAGAAGGCTGTTGAATCAGTGTACAATCCTGCTGGTGATGGAAATTGTGGTTTTCGTGCTCTCGCATGGGCTATCTATGGAAACGAGCATTTGTATGAAGATGTCAAAACCAGGATGGCCATCCAGTTTCTAAGCAACAAGCATACCATGTACAAGAAGGATGATGCACCAAAAATCGAAGCTGTTCTTGCAAAGGGTTCCGGGAAATGGTTCATGGCTCCAGAATGTGTCCAGATTGCTGCTGATACCTTTCAACGACCAATCGCCTTCTACGGACCACTCACATATTTATACATACCATCACGTATCCCGCCTGCCGAGGCAGCATCTACTCATCCCATCATCTTGCAGTTGAAAAATGCGCATTTCATACTCATTACTATTCCAGAGGATGTTGCTTTCCAATGGCCCGAGATCAGCCCAACACACCCTGGCTTCTCAAAAAGAGGTTCTACCATAATGCAAGATCCATGGTATGAGACTTTCTTCCTATCGTTTGAATTCGCACAATCACGTTACCAAGCAATTCCAGAGCCAAACGAGGATGAGAAGATTGTGATCTCGGATAGCGACTCATCTGATGCTGAAAGTGTCCTTGACCTCACGTGCTAGCAACATAGACATTGTATAATTACGATATAGTTATCACATCCACTTCTCAAATATATAGTTACCATGGTTTATCCATCATCTTAAAAGGCTCCTCACCATAGCGACCACGTGAAAACCAGACACTATTTGAGCTTGTTCTTGGGTATATGGTGGGAGAGCTAATCTCTAGGGTCTTGAGCGAATGGAACTTAGATTGGTGCACCAATGCAATGGCGACTTTTCCCAATGCTGATTGTACGAGAGTCTGTATAAGAGAAAGTGCATGTGGTTGCATCGTTGGAGGTGGTTCATACCTTTGGGCTGAGAAAACGCCAACTGAATGAGGGGGACATGGTGCCGCCGTCTGGATTTAAAATTGACATGGTGTATTGACATGGTGCAAATAGCAAAGCCCTACGCTGCTGGAGTTGTTGGCTGGCGCTGTCTAAGTCAACTGCCTACAATTTTTTCAACTCCAGCTGGGGGGAGCCAACTTTTTGTAGGTGACATAAGTATATCGAGTTTCGATATGCGTGTGGGTTTTCTTTTGCGAACTCCGTTCTTGTCCACGTAAAAACGCTTATCATCAGTCTTCTCTTCCTGAAAGGGGCCATATACATGTATGAGTTTTAACAATCGCAATCATTGCAATAACCCTCGTTGAATACCTTATCATTATCCGATGCGTTATCTTTCATGGTACTATTGCTTTCTGAAGTATCGGGATTTTCCGTTGTGGTGTCAATAACGCTTTCGTTGTCACCGTCATGGATGGCAATACTGGTATCAGTAAGCTAAACAAGGTAGTTGTTAATATCGGTAACATGTTTTAATTCGTATGTACCATTGTTCGCTATCTTCATCCCACTTACGTTTTCATCAAGGCTGTTGTTGTTTACTACATGGCGTGGCTGATAGGTGCCACCATGTATGCACTTGAAGTAGGCTTTAACAGTGCCTTTGCTCGGATCTAGGTTTCCGCCGCTATCAAGATAGACAACAAACCCATAGGCATTGGCGAATGTTTGCAGGTCGTTCTCGATCTCATCACGAGTACTGTCAGTAGTTTTTGCGACAATCTCCTCCAAAGTAAGGAAAGACATGTGGAAAAGTATTGAACAAAAAAAAAAGAGAGAGAGAGAGAGAATCCGTATGTGTTATTCATTCTCTTGGATGCTGGTGGTACGTTGCTACTCAGGTGTACGGGTGTAACCGGTTGAATGCTATCTCAGCAATAATGGTTGAAGGATTATGCTCGAATCAATGACCCAGAGTGAAGATGACAGATCTCGGTAGTCAATGATAAGATTGAGGCATCCAATGAAATATACAAGCATTATGATGATTAGACCTAAAATATATGTATTCATCCGAAATATTCCTAAATGCATGTTAGCTTCAAAATCGAGGATTGACTAGTAAATTTGGTGAATTAGCTAGTCAATTTGGTGAATTAGCTAGTCAATCTGGTGAATTAGCTAGTCAATTTGGAGGACACCATTTAGACTAGGGATTTCGGTGTACATCGATACCAGCTAGTAAACTTCGAGGATTCCCTAGTAAATCTTGACGACACGAAATTAACTAGGATTTTTCAAGTCGTTATCTCTTGAACTCTGGCAGCTAAATTTTTAATACAACAACCATCCCAAACACTGTTCACTTCTATTGTTTTTAGTCTTACATACAACGCAACATGGTATCGCTTTACTTTTTTGCCTATGATGGTAGACACATATTGCGTTGTTAAAGTAAAGATATGAGAGGTGGATGTCTTTCAACGACCCCTTGTTAAGGCTACTTGGAAAAAACCCTCCGCATTATGCTGCCCCCACTTGAAAATCGACCGAGTCACCAAGCGCAAATCTCCAATAGCGTATTCTTCTTTCACCACCCTCTTTATTCTTCTTGTACAACTACTCCGTTCACGCCTTCCACCTCTTGTATACCTTCTTGTCACCATTCAGACTTCTCCATTAGCACCATTCACTCCATCTGGAACTCTCCATCTATAAGCACCGCGTGTCCTTGGCTGGTTTCTTGTCACCACACGTCCTTCTCAAACAACACTATTCACAGCACTCGATACAACCCACACGTCATACGCTTCTTCACCACTATTGCAATGCGCTTTACAACACTTGCTGGTCAACCTGATTCAGTCCATCTTGTTCGCCATCGTCAAACGCCTTGTCACCAGAACCCCACACGGTGTGCCAACTTGGGTTAAGACGATAAACCAAATCGAGGTCATCGAAGGTTTCTTTGCAAGGTTGGTATCATCATACTTTGAGAAGCATTTATTGGAGACGTTATTGGATTGGTAAGTGTTGGATGACAGGGAGTAGCTATGCACAAAGGTATAGTATTGGGGATATGATGTTACGTGGTGGTCCTGTTTTCTTTTCAACTCGTGTTTTTTTTATCATCTAGCGCTGACGACTGCTACCGGACGCTATGGCTATATACAATAACATGCATGGGATTGTCTCCAGCCAATGTAGGATACATGACAGAATTAGAATAGTGTATGAGAGAATAAAATAGGTTTTATTAAGGGCAATGGTAATCATGGTTACAGTAATTCAAGAGGAATGATACTTGGGTGTTTAATTTGAAGTATTCCTGAATGGTAGCTATTCATAGTTACCCTTAATAGTACGTGGGTCATAAAGTAGTCGTAGGAATGCATTACGGCACAAGTTGTGATGGATTTATTTTCCGTATAAGTGAAACGTTGCTGTACGTGCTATCTACGTGCTGCCCAAGACCTTGTCTCTCGCCGTGTAAGTGATCGTGTGATTGGACGAACCGCTGGCTTCTTTGTAACCTTCAAATTCTTGCGACGCGAAGTCCTTTTGATCTTTGGATCATTGTGGCTGCTCACATGTTGGTTACGGCAAGGTTCACCCAAATGAAAATGGCAATTCTTGGTGCATTTCGTATTATCGGCTCGCGGCATTGACAAGTCTCAGTCTTGCATCCCCATCGGCAATTGCATCCTTTACGTGCTTGTGGTGCCTGTGGAATGCATGTATATGCATTAATACAAACCTATCTATCTTTTACTCCTTAATCCTAATCCACCGCCATATAAATAGCCTGAATACAGACATGGTAATAAAGACAACTATCTTTAGGTCTCACTGTACTTTCTTTGTTTTATCCTTTCTACTTCTCAAACGCGTACACAACATTTTTTACAGTGAATTCCTTTGTCACCATGTCCAACAACGAACAACCCCAAGAACAACATCCAAATGAGACCAACACCAACAACAACCAACGCGAGCGGCGTCAACGACGACAACGTGGAAGACGCGTACAAGAAATTATGGAAAGACTTTCAATTCATGATGATATGGAAGTTGATAATAACAATGAGCAGCGTGACAATTCTGACCCACAAAGGGAGGAAGCTGCAACACCTGATCCGAGCAAACTTTTCAATTCCACCCAAGAAAGGGAGAATTTACAACCCATAAAACACACGAATGACTCTCCTCTCACTGCATCCCTGAACATTGCATAAATTAAAAATGCAAGCCGATCACAAGGACGCCCTTTTCAGGAAGCAGTCATCAATGACAAACCTCAGGAAGAACAAGCCAATGCTATGAGAGCCGCTGAAAACGCTCAAGAGCAAGTAGACAAGTATCGTCGTCTTTGCAACAAAAAGTATCCCCTACACCCACAATTCCAAATACAAGTCAGCACGATGGACCATTGCTTCAAATTCAGAACAAGATGACAAGCAAAAAGACTCGCATATCATTGCCGAACTACCAGCCTTACAAATTGTGGGCAATGAAAAAATGGAACCCATGCGCAAAAAATGCACCTGTCGACGGAGATGTTTTTAAGAGCATTTGTCAAAGGGCTACAGTCCTGCAGTTGAAACCGAAGACCAATGGCAAAGATTGATGCCCAAATGCCTGGATGATACTCAAGTCTTTGGATTTGGACGACGTCTTGAGAGAACCCCGACTACACATGGGCTGCCATCAGCAAGCATTTATTGACAAGTTTGACACACCTGAACAAAAATTGATTAGCATGGAGGTTGTGTTGCACATGGAGGCAAAAACCGGATGAAGACATTCGCACATACACCAAACGCTTTGTGCAACGCTCGATCGAAACCGGCGAGGACAAATACCATGTGCCCATGATAGTAGCACTCCTTTCATCATTGCAAAACAAGCATGTCATATACAGCCTTGTTTCAACCAAGTTTGGTTCCTCTTTCATCAAGCAGTCCTTGGAGACCATCGCACATTACATATCCGGATTACATGTTCAAGGCAATAATTCATTCATCAACAACAAGCGAACGCATGAGGGATCGAGCACCTATGAACGCTCACCCATGAAACGTTCACGTAACCAAGACAACCCAAATTGCTTCCATTGTGGTCGTCTACGAAGACAGCAATCATGCTCTGCAATGAATACTTGATCTATCATGGACGCAAACCCATAGCGGCTCATTTACCCAAGAGCCCGAACCAATGGTCAATCGCTCAGCAGCCATTGTCGATGACGATGTGGATGATGGTTTGCCTTGTAAGTCCTATAAAGAAACAAGATGAATGTGATGAAATGCTGATTCCAGTAACCTCAGAGGACAACGAATACACGCCCTTCTGGATGATGGTGCTACATTTTCAGCTATTAGTGATAAGTTTTGTCAAACGATTGAATAAAGATATACCTATTCATGGATACGGCGCGAATTGGCCTCACACGAGTCGAAGGTTAAACGCATCGGCATTACTGAACCACTCGACATTTGGTATAATGGTCGCAACATTCACAACGCTCTCGTTCGAAGTGATGGATCTTGCGCATAGCAAAAAGCCAGTATCGGCGAAGACCTCTTCGTACATTCGGCGCGGATTACACGGGCCTAGCCCATACACGGGATGATGCTTTAGAACAAAATGAGGAAGGCGAGTTTGATGATACACATACACCTCCAAATGTTCCCGCTTGTGGAGCACAAGAATATGCCACTTTTATGCAGGCGATACAACCAAGCTTAGACCGTAATGCAAAAATACCATCGAACACCTTTTGTCCCCTCTCTGAAGCCATCATCACCATACCTACCTCCTGAGACATGTGTTATCGTCGTCAATACACAATACCATATAACTTACAACCCGTAGTCTTTGAACAATGGGGAAGGCGAAGAGAGGTTTTCATACAAAAAAGGTCGAGTACAGCTCGCTAGACCCCCCATTGTTCAAAGACTCCTCCGCGAACCATTTCCCGCAAACCGCGAAAAGTCCATCCTGCGCGAAAATTAAATGATCCTCCACGAAAATTAAATGATCCTCCACGAAACCAATATCCGCGAGCGCTAAGCGCCATATGAATCTGGTACGAAATAAAAAACGCTACCCGCGAAGTTAATACCGTCACCCACTTGAAACCAAAAGTAGCCCGCCAAGCAAAATTCGCCACGAGACTCATATATGATTATGCACGAAAAAAACAGCGAAGGCTCGCGCCGCGAATCGTATCTCGCTGTTCTGTTCATCTTGGAAATCCTGTATCTATATTGAACTTGGCCGCCATGGCCTACCCGAGAACTGCTCGCAACCCGAGCCGCTGATGCTGATGATGTGAATGAAACAAATCAAACTTCCGGCGACAAGCAGCTTTACTAGTAGTTAGTATTTTATACGTGTAGCATAACGCGTTCTTAACGTTATGTATGTATAGGTCGAGCATTATGGATATTGTGTCCGATGGAGGGGCTGAAGAAGGCAACCATGCTAGCAATCAAGCTAGCAATCAAGCTAGTAATGAAGCTGATAGTAAGTTGGAAAGGTTAAGAAGCTGTACATAGTATTTATTTTCGGCTGATGATAGATGACCAGGCGATGCAAGAACGCCCAAAAAAGAAAAAGCGTGGTCCTTATACCAAAACAACGGACCAAGCGTTTGCTGCACCAACGTCAGCAATGTGATTGATCGTGGCTATCGCCGCCAGGCAGGCAGCTGACGCTGGCAATATCGAGGTCATCAGCGCTTCGCTCAGCTTTGAAGCGTTACCGCTTGAGAGGAACAGCAAAGCCTCTTAAGCGGGGTAGAAAGCCACGTGGTGCTTTCAATGATGAGTTGGTCTACTTCCTTTTTGGTTATGTGGATCAACATCCTTTTGCCGCCCGTGGAGGATGTTTTGGATGAAGTGGCTGCAGATCGAGTGGTGCATGAGTTTAAGCCATCAGACCACGTTGCACAACTGGCTGCGCGAAAATGCACGCCTCACTTTCCGGTGGATGCAAAGCTTTCCTCCTGAGCCATCAGCAGATGAGGGAAAACGTGCCCGTTGAAGAGTACAGTCATATCTCAGATATGCCTACGCTGATGTGCATGAAGGCTGTGTGTTCATCAGGGAGGCTGCGTAAGTGTAATTTATTGAATAGTAATAGATCAAGGTACTCATATCACTGCCATTGTAGTTTCGTGAGTGATGCCAACAGGAGCTATCCATTAAAGCCTCGTGAATCCCACAGAAGGCGTGCCATTGGGGAAAATCCCCACCCTGACACGTGCATTCTTGTGGCGATTTCGGCTGGTGGCCTTGTTGCTCACAAGATGAAGAGCATGGGTTCGGTTACCACGTCGACCGAATTCGCAGGCTTTGTGCAAATGGTGCTTAAGAGTATCCGTTCTGAAGCAACCATGTTCTATGGCTTCGACAGTGCACCTGCCGAGATAGCCAATGCTATCGAAGTCAGGTTGCAAGTCGTGGCCATGAACCGCAAAGCTTTCTTCCTTCGTCGTAGTTAAAGCGGGAATCCGGCTACATGCTTATTCCATGATGTTCTACAGACCATGAGTCGAAAGCGATTGGATAGGTCACCTTATTGAAGGTGTGGGCGTGCGTTTTGAAAGTGCTCTTAGCAGAGTTACTTGAGAAGCATGTGTTCATTATGCATCCGCCAATCATTCCCCGCTGACGAATAAATCCTCATCCGTCCCACTCCTTTCCTTTCTACGCTCTTTTTTGTATGCCCTGCCACTCCTTTTCTTTGTATGCTCTTTACTCTTTTTTTGCTTGTATGCCTTTTCTTTGTATGCCCTTATTTTTAATCATTTCATATACCACGTACTTTCACTGCTTGTATCAATATATATGCTTTCATGTCTTTATGTATCGAAACTATTCATCATTCACACCTTTAGCTGTGGCCGGGTATTCCTACTCATATGTAAGTTCGCCAACGCTGTGTACATGCATGTGCGATATGGTTTGGTTATCTGCGTATTGTATCGGCTTGACAACAACGATTGAAAAGAGAAAGGATGTCGCTGTCGATGCCCAACTACATTGTGTTGACAAACGTGATGCTGCTCCATGTAGTTTATCTCTAGCCAACGTTGCTGATGTCTTGGCGATTGACGTACACTGTTGTATGAAGCTGTGTAGGCTTTGGGTGGTGACATGTCATGCCGAATTAGCCTTGGAATCCGTCAGCCCTCGGCCCCGCTGTGAAAATCTTCAAGTTGCGCTTTTTCATGGACACCTCTTTGCTCGTACTCTCCTCATTGCTTCTCCAACAATCTGAACCACTCTACAATCTGCTGAGCACCTTCCAATTCGACGCATGTTGTGTTCGCCCCAAGTCATCGGGTCAATCGGTTCCACATTGTTGGCAGTAAACGCTGGATTGGCATGGTGCAGGTAACGTTATCACCTTTCACAGTAAGCCAAGCTTTTTTATAGACTCCAACAACACACCTCATGCTTCGATCCTTGGAGCCGATACGAGATACCATACAGCAGAGATAATGATTCACACGATATATAATGAGAATGAAGGTACGTTTCACTTTGACATACACGGATGATTATCAAGACACCCTTCAACAAATCAATTAAGGCACACGAGTACAACAAATACAACGACAAGGGAAAGGGTTATTGTCAGCTACTTTATCCATCCATCATTGGCGTTGACGTCGCGCATTGAGTGGGATACATGCATTATTGTTGTAGTATTCGATCCATTCTTGAAGTTGGCCATAAAGCTACTTGTTGATGTTATCATTTCCAACCTTCGTTTGAAAGAGACGCTGGAATTTGGTCAAGGCAGTGATACGGGAGATGATGATGGGGGTGGAGATGATATGGAGGTGAGCATGCTTGTGATCGACGTGTTGGAGCTGTTGGCGTGCGTTTATGGATGGTGAGAATCCTTGCGTGAAGCTGGCGATTGTGTACTATGTTAAAAGCTGAAAGATCGGTACATGAGCACACCCAGATACTAGGAATTGTGGATCCATTATGTGTTTATTCATTTGACCAAAAAAAGGAAACCGAGAAACCAATTACACGTTCCTAATGAAGATAATAGCATAGCTTTAGCTCTGCATCGTCAAACTCGCCCCTATTGCTTCCCTATCCTTACCTACTTGGATTCCTTTGCACATTTATCTTTCGGAAGCTTGCGATTATTTTCCTTTTCATCAATTATATCTGCTGGCTTTTGAAGGTGAGCTCACCACCAGCAGCACACACGCTTTCCAGTATAAATTTTGGTCAAGCGACCTGTAACGAACAACACCAGTTTCAATATCGGCGAATCACAGTTGTTGACGATGAAGTCCATAGCATGTTTCAGTAACACCTCTACATCGGTGTCCTCATCGAGATCGCCAGGAAAGGGCACGAACAAGGACAGCCACCAATTGATCAGGAGTAGCTTCACTATACAGAAACATTGTTAGGTTTTCAGGTGCAATAAATTACATAAAAGAGACCTTACACAATGGATTGTGGGATTGGGAGTGACATTTTTAAAGTCGGGCACCTATTACCCTGTATTTTATACTCTTGGTGGGTAATGTGAGCGGAAGTGATACTTCTCCGTATACGGATGCTCTTTCCTTCCAAGAGCGGCCATGTTTGTGGCATCACGCAATGCAGGGGATTGCGATCTTGGTCAAGTTTGTGGGTCCTGCAAGTTGTATAAACAAACACAGATGTGTGGGTGAATTGGGGCCATGAAATGTTGCACGCTACGATATTGTTGAAACACTCATCGCATGTGAGCTCTTTTGCTAAACTGCCACTGAATGCGTACACAAAGTTGACTTGTGGAAGGGGACACTGTTGGACTGTAGATTACGCTAACTATATAAAGAAAGGCGAAAATTAGAGAAATGTTTACCACAATCAAACATGTCCCAATCTCCAGCCATTCTTCCCGCAACCCTTGGGTGAGTTGATAGACGCGAGGACACTACATCCAACCCCGTTAAATCCCCCCACTTTTCAACTTAGAGAAATTCCTTTTCTTCCGCCAGCCTACTTTTTTTTTTACATCGCACCTTCCCATTGTGAAAGTTGGACCCTACCTACCGATCTACGACATGGACGTAATAGATCTATTCCAGATGAGTGCATTCGACTTTACACGGCTTCGATCTGAGCGATTGTGACGAATTATGAAACACATGGGGCGATCTCAACTTATGCTACCTATTATATAGCACGCCTCTTGGGCCTACCACACACACTTTCACAGCCTTGCCACCTTCGCCAAAGGTAGTATTATGATCAGTGGATATTTTTCAACAAGGGAACCCGTTATCGTCCAAAAGACGCGTGTTGTTGTCGACTTTTTTCGTTTACTTTATTCGTGGAGCCAATATACAGTATCGTTTCTACCTTAATAGGCTACCCTTATGTTTGACTATTGTTCAATACGGTATATATATTGAAACGCTTATATGTTGGCCTTGCAATTTGGGTTTGAGGATGGATTGGGGTGTAAGATGATATTAAGACGATGTTGGCTGTATATAAAGTGGACAGTGGCTATGTTGTCGTGAAGTTTTCTGCATTCGAATTGTTTACTCTTTGTGTTCTACAATGTCCCCTGAAGTCGTCAACCTCATTAGCGATTCCGAATCTGAGTCCATGTCGGTCAATTGGGACCAAGACAGTAATGGCGTGAATGAACAAGTCGAAGCTGAAGTTGAGGCAACAAAGGCAGACCTTGAAATTAAGCTCGAAATAAGGGGTATATAGAAATCGATGCCTCCAATATCAAGGACTACGGCACTACGGGCTATCGCTTGCAATGGAGAGGTGTGGAACTACGAGCAAAAGGCAGGCTCAGGTAAGTGTAGGACAACGTATATGAAACACCCTAGTAGATGCATAATGTATGTAATGCTGCATTAGCTGGTGAAACCGATCGTGATGACCACTCTACGGGGAAGAAACATCGTGCACTTGAATTCCGTGTTCGAGAAAGTCAATATTACGAATGCCACCGTGCCAATGAGAAACGCATACGAGCTTACAAACCAGATGATGACACCATTGATCGACGCAACATTGTACGCCCGCGATCGAAAAAGAATGGCTGCAAGGCACTTATATTGTTCGACTTTATGAAGGAACACCAGAGATTGCGTATGTGGAGAAAGAAAGCCAGATCATGACACCCATACCCCTGGAGATGCTGAGGATATCGAGCATATCGTGACAACAAAAAATGTACGGCCAATGACATCTTGCATATGTTGAGGAATGGCCATGGTATCACTCGGCGTCAAATTCGGATGTGGTTCAACGGGGAGATGTTATCTATGCCCGTACAACATACCCGATGCTCAACTGCGTACTGAAGCGATCACCTATATATATCGCAAGTGGCATAATGAACTTTTTTAAAAGGATAAGGATGATGCTCTTTCAGTTGCTCGCTGGTTGGATGATTTGGAATCTCGTGAGTATACTGTATGGCGTATTGCTGAGACAGGTGGCTCTTGTTATGGATTTGAGCTTTGTTCGACATGGCAAAGAAATGAATTGTTTCAAGGTGTCACCTGGTCAATGGATGCTACGCATCATATGGATTCCCATGCCAACGCATTGCTATATACGATCATTGTTCGACATGAGCTTGCTGATCGTGGTATCCCTGTTGCATACCTTTTCGCAATGATCGATCTGCTGATCCTGTGACAAAGTGGCTCCAATCAATTGCTGACATGAATGCATCACCAAGATCATCACCATCGACTGTGACCAAGGTGAAGTGAAGGCGATCCGTGCTGTTTGGGGAGGCAGTGCCGTATCGGTACTGCGCATGGCATGGCCGTGCCTGGATGAACCAGCTTGTGGATAAAGCAGTGGAATGGGGAAGAGCGAAGAACAAGATGGAACGCAAGCACCTTGAGATGCAAAAGATCGTGAGGGAGCTCAAAGCATTGATGTGGGAGCAAAAGCCGTGAGGAGTTTTTCAAGAGACGGGAAGCCTTCAAGAAAACATGGGCAGTGCACCAGTCTTTGTTTGTGGATTACTTTGAGAAGCAATGGATGGCTGAGGATAAGTATCCAAGGTGGGCAAGGTGCTATCATCCTGAAGTATATACCAACATGTTGACGAACAATTATGTGGAGTCATGGCACAATCAGCTCAAGACCGTTTATTTGCAACGCAAATACCCAAGACGTGTAGATTTTCTAATCTATACCCTTGTTGAAGAAGTCGAGCTCGATATGGTGGCCATCATCAAGCAACGTGCAGCACGCAACGGTGCATTGACCAACCAACAGAGGCATATGCTACAGAAGAGGAAACAAGCCAATGACTTGGCTAATGACGCTGACCGACATGCAACTTAGCTGTATGATTCAACCGAGTACAGCGGATACAAATGCATACCTTGTCAATAGTTTTGCACTTGATGGTATCCGTTTTACGGTAAGCTATATCTTTTATCCTCGAGCCAAGCTTTATGATTCTCATCTATAGTATCCATCTTCTTAAAGGTCGCTTATTGGATACGACAGCTCTGATACCACAAAAGTGATGACATGCTCATGTCTAGCTTACAAGTTTAATAACAAGGCATGCAAGCACATGTTCCTTCTCGCACGTTGGAATACATCTTACGTCGTTAATGGTGATCCATCAGCCTAAAAGGGTCACGATTGATCTCAACCCCTTCAACTCCTTCTCTTTCTCCATCTGCATCGCGAGCTCGAATGCCAACAATGTCTCTCAATCCGCTTCCACCACTACCAATGACACCAACGATAATACTTCCATGGATAATCCTCGTGATACCATCAAGTCCCAAATCAACAGGTTCGAACGTACACTCGATCAAGGATCATTTAATGATGCAAAACTTCTTGATATTATTGGCAAACTGGACAATCTTCAATCTGAACTCGATCAAGCTCGTATACTACCACCAAACGCTAGGCTCGCCACAACACCCACGCAAAAGAAATCGAACTAGAAAATAAATCGTATCATTATCCTTTTCCTCTTCCTCCAGATCACTCGTTCCCTTAGCGTATCTTGTATAATTACTTAGCTTTTGTTGGTGTACAAACGATACTGTATATTGGCTCCACGAATAAAGTAAACGAAAAAGTCGACAACAACACGCGACTTTTTGGACGATAACGGGTTCCCTTGTTGAAAAATATCCACTGATCATAATACTACCTTTGGTGAAGGTGGCAAGGCTGTGAAAGTGTGTGTGGTAGGCCCGAGGTGTGCTGTATAATAGGTAGCGTAAGTTGGGATCGCCCCATGTGTTTGCCAATTCGTCACAATCGCTCAGATCGAAGCCGTGTAAAGTCGAATGCACTCATCTGGAATAGATCTATTACGTCCATGTCGTAGATCGGTAGGTAGGGTCCAACTTTTGCCAATGGGAAGGTGCGATGTAAAAAAAAAAGTAGGCTGGCGGAAGAAAAGTGGGGAATTTCTCTAAGTTGAAAAGTGGGGGGATTTAACGGGGTTGCACTACATCGCTTTACAACAACTGACATAAGCCTATAGTGAGCTCAAGCCAAGGCCACCCGACCCTGAATCTTTGCTCGTTTGCTTCCAGAGCAATACTTCCCTTGGACTCCGCTGCGTTCATAGACGCAGCAGGTTCGTTTTTGCCGATGAGGCAAACAAGAACTACGAGCATTACGATGCTATATGCCATGAGGGCGAGATGTGTTACAAGCATGTACCAAGATCATGTGCGTGCTGGAGCACGTCTTTATTTGGAAGAGATTAGAAGCAGAAACCAACAGCAATAGGGGACGCCTTTAATACCATCAATGATACACCTTTGAGAACCACACATAATGTTTTGAAGCTGCCATAAATATTGAACAGCGCGTTCTTTTTTATTGTCCGGTAAAACCCTCCGTGATCACCATCATCGCGATGTTTGATAAGGGCGACCATTTTTTTAATTGATCTTCTCTGGCCGCGCTTTTCCGGTTGAGTTCTACGATCTGCTCTTGCTGAGCTTGGATATGGTTAGCAGCGTTAAGGTGTACGCTGCCTCGGACACGTCTCGCTCTTGTAGGTAGTACACTCATTGGCCTTGTTTTTTCACGCTTTAGTAACGTCCATTATGTGATGTGAATTTCTTTACCTCCTACAAGCAGGCCACGAACAACAGGAGAGCACCGCTTCTGATTGCTGATACCAGCTCCATCTTGAAGGTGGTGCATTTGTGGCCTATTTTTATCACACTTTAGTAACAGGGCCATTATGTGATGTAGCATCCTTACCTTCCACCATGGCATCCAACATCTTCTTCATCTCCAAAGCCAGCTTGCAACGGTCATTGAGCAGCTGCTGGGCGCTGCTGGCATGAGGCTTTTCACCTCACCCTCAGGTCTTGTCGCTGCTATTGAATGTGAACAGCCGATTAGATGGCCACCCATGGTAGTCATGTGGAAGCTTACCTTCCAAGCGGTAAACGGCATAATTGTCCCTCGCGTACGAGGCTTGCGAGGATGTCATGCAGTCACCCTTAGGGAGGTCGCGAGGGCTGAACGTAGAAATGTCAACAAAAATACAAAAAAAGATTCAAAAGATACCAAACGAAAAGACTTACAGCAACCGGTAGCTCTTTTTCATTTCCAATGCCAGCTTGCACTTGTCGTTGAGCAGCTGCTGACCGCTGCTGGCATGAGGCTTTTTCACTTCTATCGCAAAGACGTCGTGAAAGATCTCTTCATTGCGCGTTTGGATGGACGTAATGTAATCAAGCAAGTGTATTGCCATCGAAGATGACGTCTTGCCTTTTGCATCACATTGCAAGCATTGTCGACCATTCGATTTTGCGTAATAGTTGGAATGCATAATAAATGGAAACATAGTTGAAAGAGAGAGAGTTTCGTGAAAAGGAAAAGGCACCTTTTATTTGTGTTGGACTCTGGTGTAACAGCGGAAGGCCGTATCGATGTTTCACCACTTCAAAACTAGGGCAGCATAATACCAAGCGTAGCTAACTTATGTGTGCTTTTCCCACAAGAATGATTACGTGTAGTTTTGGATATGAGCAATTGTGTTGGGCGAAACATAAGAGGTACCAATGAACCAGAAAGGTTAAAGCATCCAGCACCATATGGAATACGTAGTACACAAGACAGCCTAAAAAGAGACAAGTAAGTGCCACTAAAACCTTCATCTCTTTCCAATGTCAAGCAGCGACGCTGATACAGTACTCTATAACCCTGAAGACGACTCGGATGAAACAGTCATTGATTTGACTATATCCTCTGACGATGAGGAAGTGATCGATTTGACGGTATCCTCTGACGACGAGGAATATGGGCTGCTCGAATCAGAGGCAGAAGAAGGTCTTTACATCTTACAACTAAAGCGACGCACATTAATATGGTAGCAAATAGATACTTCATCGGAAGTAAGGGTAGTACCACACGAGATGCCATCATACATTGGAACTGGCAATGACCGAGAGCGAGAAGACCAATTGGTGCCAACCTTGTAGATAAAGCCGGCAATTGGCATATTAATTGTAGGATTATATGTATGTGCATTTTATAGTATGGGTACAATTCAAGTAGGCACAACTTGATCCTCATCTATGTCGTCAAAAATGTTGTTTTCTCTGCTAGTTGGAACCTGTTGATCATTGCTTGGTCGATCAAAAGCTAGACAGGCCCAAAGTCAATGTATGTATAATCTCATTCAATCAATAATAGTGAACACACCGCAACGTTGAAGTGCATTTCCCAGTTGCATTTGGAGCTGTATCAACGAATGACTGTCATCGGAATAAAGAGAAGCGGTATCACAAGAGTCAGGGTCAATGGATATATATCGACGAGGCATCAAGTATGGAATAAGAGAAAAAGAGTACTTCTCACAAGCCTTGTATACCACTTGTATTTGTACCCTCATGTTTGTGGGAAAGCATTCATGTGTATTGCTTATAGGGTAGTGATCAGCCAGCACCTTCGATAGTTCAACCTTTTTCCAACATTTCAGTGCATGGATGATCATCATGTGTATATATCCACTTTATTTCCCCTCATCATTTGATGCTCTTGAAGTCCATCACCCTCCAACATCCAAAATGCTCGTTGTTATCGTGTAGTCTAGCCGTTTTTCAGCTTGTGTATTGGTCATGCATGCATCATCGTACATGCCGTCATGTATCATAAGCTCTGGTAGTAAATTCGATCCATCCCATTTATTGCCATCCAACATCCAAATGTATGATTCTATATATGCAGTACTGTAACCTCGTTTCGTATGATGCTGATAGGTCGTGTATGTCTTGTTGCTAATCGTGCAACAAGGTGCTTTGATATGCTGCTACACTGTAGTGTCCAATTCACTCGTCAACTGTACTAGTCGCCTTCCACGTAACTCTGTCCCACTACCTTTTAATACTATGCCGTGGTCAATGTGTGTAATGCCATTGTTGCTTGCTTGTTGTAATCCATAAGAAGAGAAGAGAAAAGGGGTGCGTTAACAAGGCAAACAAAACAGCACGTCTTTCCCAAACTTCCTGATTGCCTTTGCTACCTTCATACACTTCATGCACTTCATTGCTGGTCACCATTGCATAAGAGGTGCTGATTGATGCAAGGTGTTGGATAGAATCGTTGAGAAAACGTAAACGGGACACGTCTTGAGTTCGACAAAGTAAAGAAAGGAACGCCTCGTTCGCTGTTACCTTCCCCCTTTTTTGTATGCAAACGGCTCTCCGCTTTCTTCCCCATTGTTGCCCACGGACATTAAAGTCATCCTGCGCGAAAATTAAAGTCATCCTCCACGAAATAAAAAGCCCCGCCCACGAAACCAAAAGCGTCACCCACGAATTCAAAAGGCGCTACGCAGGAAACCAAAAGGCGCTACCCACGAAACCAAAAACCATCACCCACGAACTCACTTGTCATTAGCCACGAAAAAATAGTCATCACCCACGAAATCATTATCATCATGTTCCACTTCTTTTGGGAAATCCTGTACGTGTATATGACCATCATACCCGCACCATTTTTGCACTTCTTGAGTCTTTTATGTATATGAGGTTTATTCGAAAGCATTGTATTTTGTAGCATAGTATCATAATAATCAGGATAAATTCATCAATAATTTTGGTTTAACTATGGGTTGTACATGATTGTGCGTGTTGGGTATTCAGGAACAGCATTAACTAAGGATGCCAGGATGATAGGATGTTGTTCCTGGTTTAGCTTTCTTGTTGTGTAGGTGCCTCCATGATGATTTGTAGCTTTGTGGTACTTTTCTTTCAATCCAAGATTCACCATGCCAGTGAGGAACCGGGGGCCATTCGATTCGGATTGTAGGTTTGATGATAAGTGAGTAGTAGTGTTTACCCACTAGATGCAAGATCAATGGTTTGTGTAAGGTACCGCGCACGGGGGGATCAAGAGGCAAAAATAGCTTTGGCAATTCCGGGGTTATCCCAACCTGAGTTACTGTTTGATATACAGCTACTGGGTATCCGAAAGCGTCAGCAGCTACTTGAGCCATTGTATTGGCATCGACCCAATACGCCTCCTCACACCAATCGCCAACGAATGCTTCTGTTTCAGGAGTAAGACCATATGACAATCTTGCCATCATGTAGTCGTACTCTTTATCACCGAAGGTGATGTATTTCTTGTAAACGTCAGCATCTGATTCAGCCGCTAGTAGTATTGCTTCCTTTATCTTCAAATACTCGTTTTCGTTGCCATGGACTTGTGCAGCAAGGGCTCTCCAACCGCAGCAACCATCAGCCTTGACAGTGATTATACTTTGCACCCATCTATTATGATATTGTGAGTTGTTTGCTTTAGCTTAATTAGATCACTTACTCTGGAACATCCATCCTTGGCTTGTGATAGTTCGTAGGTTTTGGCCATAGATCCTCAGGGTCGGCATATTGGGTTGAACGTTTTTTGCCTTGCTGCTCCATGCTATCGCTCTTCTTATCACAAACAGTATGCGATTCATCCACCTTTTTTGCATCTTCTTTGGATTTGGCCTTCTCCTTTGCCATTTCTTCCTTTTCAGCTATTTCAAATCTAGATGGATCTCTGGATCCTTTTAGATTCTTTTTGCGGCCCTTCGTTACAACATCTTTAGGAAAACGAAGCTTGTCATCTAGTGGTTTGAATGACTCCATGAGATTGCGCAAGGCTTCGATGAGATCAGTACGTTGCTGGCTATCGGGTAAAGTTTCGTAAAGGTCGGCGATATCGTTCATAGCAGTACTGAAGTTTTCGTCAACAGCACGCTCAACACCATCGTCGAGCGGTAGCGTATCAACATGCACTACAGCAAATCACACATTATATATATATACATATAAACAATGGTTCATGACATGACCTATATATAGCTTACTATTTTGCTTTTCAAGGTGCCATCTACAGTGCACCATATCTACTTGCACTTGGGCACTTTGGTCAAGTGGAAGCATATGACGACAAGCCAATAAGTAGTTTACGCGATGTTCACAGTCGCACTCTGTTTCTGCCTTGTCTCTTTCTTCTTCATCGAGATCCAGCAATGATAAAGCTCGGTCTTGATACGTCGAATCCTGTGCTGGTAATTCACGTTCATGGCGGTAACGAAGAAGCTCACGGGTTTCAGGATCATAGAGTAGACGTGCAAGTTGACGGATGAGTGGCAGGTATTGTACTCGAGAACGAGGTTTACCACTCTCATCACATCGCATTTCACCGCAGTGGCCACAACGCTGGATAGCTTCATCACCATAATACATCATGCATCCTCTTGGGCAAGCATCATATGATACAGGCTCCACCCCCATAGCGTTGTTGTATGCACTATTGGTTTTGAAATACGACATGAGAGGTCCAGGAGTAGTATCGTCGTCTCCTTTGATGAACATGTTGAAAAGTGTCATCATCTCGTTATAGCCATCTCTCGATAGGCCACGTCTTTTCGCCACATGAAAAAGCCGCATCGAGTACTCCACAGCACGATTACTTGTCGTCTCATTATCGTCAAAACGAATCTCTGGACCGGCAAAGTTTTCATCCACAACATCCATGGCTTGATTGTGACCGTCATGGTGTGCTGGTACTGGTGCTGGTGTTGGTCTTGGTGGTTGCTGATAATCCCCATCCGACATTCCACCAACAGACACGTAATCGCAATCCATGATGGCATCACTCTCATCGTTAAAAATGGATGCAGCAAGAACAGGCGACATGTTTTCTTCCACTAACTGTACATGGTGGTGTTAGACGTTAGTTAATACTGGTAGCACTTCAAAGGATCAATCACATTTCTCCGCCTAACCTGCCCACTGAGCTGTTGTTCGTTGATGGGATCACGCTAGCAATTTTGAATGAGATCCTAGTGAAATTGCCATTCATAACACGTGCTTACATTGTTCACATCGTTATTTTCAGGAACACGAATAAGGGGGGTAGTTGTTGGGTTGCAATGGAGGTAATGAGCTGACTGATTCGCTCGTCCATTACCAGTACAATTGAACCACTGTTTACACTTGGTGCATTTGAATGGCACGTTGTTGGATCGCTTTCTTGCAATAGATGTTTTTCCCATAGTAGGTAGAAAAAAAAAGAACAGTATACACAAGCTGCGCAGTATAAAGATCAACTGCCGATTTTATTATATCCCAAAATCCCAATCACAGCGATGCTGCTTTTTTCTAATCTAATTCTGTCATCCGCTGCCATCGCTTCCTACAGTGATGCAAAGGGGTATATATATGACCAACATGTCCTAGGATGTTTCGGTACCTACACCGAAGACTGAAATGTCCTAGGACATATCGCGATATGTCCTAAGTCCGGAAATGTCCTACAACAACAACAACCCTCCCACCACCCCGCCGTAGGGATTCAGTTGTTTCTCTTGACCCTGATGATGAGCGTAGCTCTGCTGGCTCTAAACCTCAGCCTATGGCAGGCGTTGAGCTGACCGGTTCTGCAGCTTCTTGCTACGCTGATCCTATGGTTGCGGGACCTCAAACTCTTGAGAAGTTGCGTTCCCAACTAGGTGAACTAGTGATGAAGCAGACTGCTTTGTCGGGGCAACCTCGCAATAGGGATGAGTTGAAAAAACTGTCCTTGCAGCAAAAGGACTTGGTTGATGAAATTGCCATTGTGGACGCCTGTCTCAAAGCGCTGCAGTCTTCAGCTGAGCTCGTAAAAGAGAAGAGTACCATGACTACTCGCCAGATGCCCGAGTTAGCTGTCAAAGGCGTTACTGATTGCACTGGTGTCGAGAAGCCATTCATGAGTGTGGATGCGTTCTTGAGCTATTTCAAGAAAATTCTCGAGACGAACAAGTCCAACCCTGATACTGAATGGTCCCATTGGCTCAAGCTCTCTTTCGATCATGAATATGAGGTATGGTATGAGAGTGAGCTCACTGGCAAGGACCTCAATTGAGATGATGTTTGTCGGGTCGTTCGCAAGCGATTCGTGCCTCAAGGCAGCCGCGTGAGGACGGCCGTTGAGGTGTTTAACAGCGCCATGAAGGATAAGGAGTCAATGCAGCAGTATGGCATGCGTTTCCAAAACTTGGTTCGTGAAGCAGGTTTGTCCAACTGTGATGTTCTTGCGATGTTGTTTTTGCTTTCTTTGCCAGGTGGTTTGCAGGACAAGGTGATGATGTCATTTTGTGCGAAGCTTGGTAATGAAGATCGATTGCCAACAAAGCTCGAAGAAATCATCAAGCTGGCAAATTCTTTGTCTTTGCCCAAACGCTCTCATGATGATACGGAGCACGGGTCTCGTTCTTTGGTCAAGAAATATAGAAGAGACTAACCCACAGGTACAGGATTTCCCAAAAGAAGTGGAACATGATGATAATGATTTCGTGGGTGATGACTATTTTTTCGTCGCTAATGACAAGTGAGTTCGTGGGTGATGGTTTTTGGTTTCGTGGGTAGGAAGAGGTCAGACCTGGTCACTTAACGAGGAAGTGTCTCTATGTCAAGCCTGGGTCCATATTTCCGAAAATCCTGCCATTGGTACCGGCCAAAACAGAGCTGGCTTTTCGAAGTCTGGCCATGACCATTGGCGCTCGATAGTTAATAATCGTAGTCCTGTACGTTCCATTGAATCATTGGAAGCACGGTGGAAAGTTATCCAGTACGAAGTCTCAAAGGTTAGCGGCTTCGTTGAGGCAGCTAAAGGCTGCAGTGGATGCAATGGGGCTGATGAGGTATTACAAACAATGCTGATACAATGATGGTACTTATCTTATTATTCACAATTATAGATCAATGCTGCCCGTCAACTATTCCGTGAGGGGAATTACTACGCCCGCACCAAAATCCCACCTCGTCCGCACCAAAAAAATAGGCATGCTAGTCATATACTCAGGTCAGCCAATAACATAAAAGTTACATAAACACAGCACCTTTCTACCATCCCCACCATAATGTCACGTGCACTACTCACCATACCCGCACCATTTTTGCACTTGAGTCTGTCATGCAACGCATCCATCATGTCACGTGTACGTGTATATGACCATCATACCCGCACCATTTTTGTAATTCTTGAGTCTATCATGCAACGTGTCCATTATGCCATATACGATATGTTCACGACTATGCATGAATCTTTGATTTATGTTTTCAAACATATTATACGACGCAATTCATTTCACTTGTAAATCTTTATACTCGCATTTCTATGCATAACATCGCCAGGTCGTTCATCATATAAGGTTTTAATAGCTCGAAGCCGAATACTATATAGCATTCTTAGTGAGTGACCCCTTATTCTATTGTGATAGCTGCTAGTATCTTCATGATCGTGATTTTGATGGCAATGATGTATACAGGATTTCCAAGATGAACAGGAACATGAGGATAATGATTTTGTGGTTGAGGTATATGGTTTCCTGGAAGATGATTTTTTTTCATGCATAATGATATATGAGTTCGTGGGTGATGGTTTTGGTTTCGCGGGCTACGCTTTTGGTTTCGTGGGTGATGGTATTAACTTGGTAGGTAGCGCTTTTTATTTCGTACTCAGATTCATATGGTTTAGCGCTCGCGGATATTGGTTTCGTGGAGGATCATTTAATTTTCGCGGGTTGAGGGAAATGGTTCGTGGAGGAGTCTTTTAACAATGGGGGGAGCCAGTGAGCTGTACTCGACCTTTTTTGTATGAAAACCTCTCTTCGCCTTCCGCATTGTTAAAAGACTCCTCCACGAACCGTTTCCCTCAACCCGCGAAAATTAAATGATCCTCCACGAAACCAATATCCGCGAGCGCTAAACCATATGAATCTGAGTATGAAATAAAAAGCGCTACCTACCAAGTTAATACCATCACCCACGAAACCAAAAGCGTAGCCCACGAAACCAAAACCATCACCCACGAACTCATATATCATTATGCATGAAAAAAACATCATCACCCACGAAACCATATACCTCAACCACAAAATCATTATCCTCATGTTCCTGTTCATCTTGGAAATCCTGTACAATGGACAATGACAAATGTTGTAGTACATGTGAATGGGTATGCATTGTTAGCGTCAAAATCGAGGATCCGCTAAAATCGAGGATCACCAAAACGACTAGGCGTTTTCAAGTACTTGAAATTAGCTAGTAAATTTCAAGGATTAGCTAGTAAATCTCGAGGATCACCAAATTTACTAGTTGTTTTCGTGTCCCTAGACCACGATGTATTGCAACCCCCCATGTACTATACCCATATTATTTTTATTGCTTGCCCAGCTTCCATAATAGATTTTAATCCTGTTACCCACGCACAGAATCAATCAAAATCACTACCCAGAGTCGTTGCATCGGTATCCAAGCAATTTACACTTAGCAACAATTGGGTGTCAACGACGTATCATATGCATAGAGTCTATCACCTCAGGATGCATACCCATTATTGTTTGCAGATGTGTATACATCACATGCATGCGCCTCATCATCTACGAATCCATATACGTCCACGATTGCAAACCATTATATGAACGTAGCGTACTTTCATGTTTACTTTAATAAAGGCCCTTTTATTCATTCATACACTATTCTAATCCTATGATGCACCATAAATTGGCTGGGGTCCATCCCATGCATGCCCTTGTATATAGCCACAGCCTCCCATAGCAGCATTCAGTGCTAGAGGATAAAACACACGAGTTGAAAAAAACGGGGTCACCACGCATCATCACCAATGGATCCATCTCCATCATCATATCCCCAATACAGTACCTTTGTGCATACCTCCTCCCTGTCATCCAGCACTTACCAATCCAATGACGTCTCCAATAAAGACTTCCTCATGTAACATGATACCAACCTTGCAAAGAAACCTTCCATGACCTCGATTTGGGGTATGGCCTGACGCACGTTGGTACCTTGTGTGAGGCTTTGGTGACAAGGCGTTTGTCGATGGCGACAAGATGGAGTGAATGAGGTTGAACAGCATGTGTTTGTAAAGTGCATTGCAGTAGTGCTGAAGAAGCGTATGACACGTGGGTTGTGTCGAGTGCTGTAAAAAGTGTTGTTTGAGAAGGACGTGCGGTGACAAGAAACCCGCCAAGGACACCCGGTGCTTGGAGATGGGCAGTACCAGATGGAGTGAATGGTGACAATGGAGAAGGCTGAAGGGTGACAGGAAGGTATACAAGTGGTGGAAGGCGTGAACAGAGTAGTTGTATAAGAAGAATAAAGAGGAAGGTAAAGAAGAGTGAGCTGTTGGAGGTGGAGGAGCGTGTTGACTTAGTCGATTTTCAAGTGGGGGCTGCATAATCGGAGAAATTTTTCTAAGTCGCCCTTAACTACGGGTGTCATACGGACTTCCTTGCAGATACCTATATTGCATGCATACGCGTCCTAATCTACGGATTCATACACCTTCACTATTGCAGATGGCTATACATCACATGCATATGGGTGATGAACAAAGAGAAAAAAAGGTAGTATACGAAGATGAAGATAGGAATAAAAGCGAAGAAACACAAAGTGATAAGTCTTTTTGAGATTGATGTTTATTCTGAAGACGATGCTCGAGTGCCTTTACATTCTAACTCTAGTATCGAGTGTATAACATGCTGCTAGAGAAGGACGTAAAGGATGGATATGGTGATGCATGCAAATGTGGTCCTATTGGATCATGCGTACATATGGTTGAAAGTGGGTGGCATGTAAAGGTCCGCTTGTGCTTGCATTGTTATGATGGATAATGTTTAACCGATAACCTCAGTGTCACTTGAAATACGTGTGCACCACATTGCCCCCTACCAGGTTAAACATTATCTTCGTGAATAACGTAAACGCTTGCTTTTGCATTTGCGTCAGCCTTACCATCCAAGGATAGATGCACATTTATGATTGCAGATGCCTACAGCACATGCATATATCCATCCGCGTCAAGTACGTAAACTTTTACAACTGTGGTAGCTACAACCAATGCGTCGTCGCCAGAATACGATGCTACACCATGCCATGCATCGTATAAGGAAGCATGAATGATATAAGGAATCATGGATCCTATGCGTGCTATGCGCGGAATGTAGTATAGCAGCTCTTATCACAGCTACGACAACATCTTGTATGTGCATGTGTCAATACAAAAGCATGTTATTACATTTGCATGCGGGTTTTTGTAGGTGACTTCTTCTGTTTCCATCACATGTGCAGTAGATAATGGTGCAACGGACATGTTTTATTTGCTGATGCACTTTTTTTGACTTGGCTCGATATCATGAATGGCATGTGAATGCACCTGTTGCATATTCCTTTAGCTTCGTATTTGAGGTGGAAAGGTATATATGCATACCGGAAAAGACATTCGCAACGTGCAATAATTTTAAGCACCTCGATCATCTTTTCTTACCCACTTTAACTTTCATACCCACTTGTTATCACACGCTATGACTTGTACTGATCCATCCCTTTTCATTGGTGTCGAACGCACATGGCTTTCCAAAGAAAAGTTTGCTTCTCTCGTTGACAAGTATCTCGATAATCGTTCACCTGGTTCTACTGAAACTACTGGCACGGTCGATACCGGCAAGACGGAAAAGACGTTCATTGATTCGACGATGTACGAAGACATCAAACGAGTCCTCAATGTGAGTATGATGTATATAATAATGGGCGTGATTTACTAACAGACTTTTGCTTGGGTGTAGAATGAGATGCCAACGCAGATATGGTGTCCTAATTTTACGTATTGGGCGCGTAATGCGTTTATGTTGAAGCAACTATCAAGCGGGGAAACATTTCTTGTGCGTAAATCTGGTAACAGAAACAGTGGGAAGACTGTTGCCATCCTCGAGCAGCTGTATGACATGATTGCAAGAGCACACGAGGAAACATTACATTGACGTAGGGATGCCATGAGAAATAAGGTATATGGAATTGGTTCAATGGTATGTTCCTTCAATCTAACGTATGCCCATTTACGAAGCTCAAGGAATTTGTTAATTGCCCTACACAATTTGTTACCTTGGTAATTGACCATTGTAGCACTTGCGCCATGATGAAACCAAAGAAGCCTATTAAGACCGCTGGAAGAGCAATACACGTCAAGTCATTCTTATCGAAACTTCAGGTATACATGTGGTGGATAAAGTTTGTATCATCATCTTAATGCATGCGTATTTTATTCAGATGGATTTGATTGATTACGGGGGCAATCGCACACGATCCGGTGACCTGCGTTATATATTACACCTCAGGGATCATCGCACCAAGTATTCATGGGCATACGCGCTTCCTTCTAAACGGGCTGCCGATGTGGGGGAAAAGCTTCACGATTTGTTTTGCCAAGTTGGTCCACCAAAAGAATTGCAAAGTGATAATGGTGGCGAATTCACTGCTATTGACATGGTAAGCATAGAATGGCTTAAGCATTGAGTGATTACTAACATGTACTAGCTCACCAAGCTTAGGCAAAAGTGGCCAACGATCACGTTTGTGAGAGGCAGGCCTCGTCATCCACAATCACAAGGTCTGATAGAGCGTGGGAACCAGACGTTAAAACGGAAGTTGAATGCATGGTGTCACGATCATCGCCGTGAAGGTGTTCACTGGAGCGAAGGTCTTTCCGAAGTTGTATACAGCATGAATACGACGTGGTCAAAACCTATCAACACAACACCTTACCGCATGGTTTATGGTCAAGGTCCACACACAAATTATCCTCCTACGTCAAATGGCCTTGTTGGTGATTTTTTCGAGGATCACGGTTACGTCCAAGGATATGAAAGTGATGGCAGCCATGAGTCGGAGGACCTTTTCTACGATACCGATGACGCTGAAGACAACCATGACAATAGCGATGAAAATGAAATTGACTCAGCTACTTCGGAAAGCAGCCTGGTTCCATTATCTCCGTGTACTCGGATAATGAGCAGTCAAGATATAATTCCTTGTTCATCCCTAGCAACATGTCACAAGATGTCGATCAGCATAGCGAATCCAGTGATGAATATTCTTCATGGGATGGATGCGATGATTCCCATGCGCAACATACTGAAGGTTTGTCTATTCACACAGCCATCGTACGTTGCATCATAGCTAATTGTTCAGAGGATTAAGTCATAGACCTTACCACCGAGCCAGGTTCATTGGATGATCTAGCAAGGTTTGATGATGTTTTCGCGGATGGAGCTTTTGAAGATTATTTGGAACGTAAGTAACTTGCTTTTTTATATACTTACCAAGAATACCCACTAACATACCTTGGCATAGGTACGAAAAATGAACCTGCTACTCGACGTCCTGGTTTCATTGTGGATCCCACCTCCGAAGATGACATCACATTTGTACAAGATGATGACTACTCTTCCCTTACTTTGGACGCCTGCCAAGAAAATATTAGCATACGGCCATGTACCGATATAGGCAGCGAGCAAGAAACCTCCGATATTGAGGATGACGAAGATATCGCTATGCGACATGTTGCTATTCGCGATGCTGCAGCTATCACCTATAACAACAGTGTCCATGCAATCCAAAAGCGGTAGGTATCGTGGCAACGGTCGTCATCTCCATGGATGCTAATATACATCAACAGACTAAAAAGCTTAGTACAAGCTATCCCAGTATACGAAGTTGGCGAGTTTGTAGGTGTGCCAATAGACGACCATCTTCGGACCAAAATGGACCCATGTTACCTTCCAGCAATTGTTAATCATGTGTCATCTCATAATCAAGGCTCAATGGTGTACAAGGTGTGCTGCCTACATGGTCCACTGGCACGGTCGTATCGGGGTCATGAGCTTCAAGATTGTCGCCATGTACGTTTTGACGAACTTGATGAAGTGGATCTCGAAGCAATAACAGAAGATACCTTGGAGTTGTCTATGGCCGATGCTCTTGACCTCCACTGCATACATTGGGCACTGTTGTGTACGCGTTTGAGAAGTAGAAAGGATAAAACAAAGAAAGTACAGTGAGACCTAAAGATAGTTGTCTTTATTACCATGTCTGTATTCAGGCTATTTATATGGCGGTGGATTAGGATTAAGGAGTAAAAGATAGATAGGTTTGTATTAATGCATATACATGCATTCCACATTTCCCCCCTCCAGGCTCTTCAGCCGTCAAGAAAGGTGTTTGTGTTCATCTGCGTAAATCGTATCGTGATCTTTTAGTATGTGTGTTTGATTGATGATCGGGTTGTGTGGGCCGTTTTTTATGCGTATGGGTCTTAGACGGATTACGTCGTTTCCAATATGAGGTGATGATCGAGGTATCGCTGAAATGTTCGGGGGGCTCCCAAGTGTCATCTTCTGCTTCATAACCAGCCCATCTCACGCGATAAAGAAAGTTGCCCTTGTGAGGCTTATGATCCACTATGGCTTCTATTTCATACAACTCATCAGCTGGTATTTCTTCCATCACTTTAATCGGTTTTAGCTGTTCTGGTGGGTAGTTGCGTGGAAGTATTTGACCTTCACAGTCTTTTAATACATATGATGTCTTATTGGAATTGACATTCACTATTCTATATGGGCCTTTATATATAGGATCGAATTTGCCAGCAGGTGCTGGGACACGTGCCATTACATGATCATTGATTTTATACTGCACCATTTTATGCTTACGATTAAATTGTGCCTCCTGTTTCTTTGTTATTGTTTTTGTGCATTCTTGGATGGCGGGAAAGACTATGGATTTCATCTCGTCGATGCGTTGACGTAATTGAGTTTCGGAAAGCGGTTGTGTATGTGGTTCATTACGGTAATCTTTGAAGTCATTAAGTCGTCTCGCAAACATCAATGTAAAGGGTGGAGTTTTATGACGTGATGTCACGTTTGCGTTGATTGCTAATTGCACGGCGGGTACGTATTTGTCCCATTCACTAGTGGCACCTTTTATCATCTTCTTTATGCAAAGTGTGGCTTTCTGCACCCATCGTTCGGCTGAGCCATTAGCCTTCGGGTGATAAGGAGCGACAAGGCGATGCTCGAAACCTGATGCACGTGCGAATCTCTTCATTAAATCATTTACGAATTCACCGCCGTTATCAGATTGTATTATTCTCGGTAACCCGAAGTCGCAAAAGATTAGTATTAAAGTATTGATGATCGTTTCGGCTGTTTTGTTTGGCAATGGGCGTAAAATGCAAAACCTGGTACACATATCTACCATGACAAGCAAATTACTATTGCCTTGATTTGATGGTTCATAATTAGCCAAGTCGAGAGCCCAGTGATCACCTGGTGCTGTGGCGGAGATGGTTCTCAATGGATGGTACCCCTTTTGGGCGATGTTAAATCGTTGACATGGAGGGCATGACATTACCATGTCAATGGCATCCTTTTTTAGGTTCTTCCAATGTAAGCCGTTATTATGGATTGTCTGTATGATTGCATTTGCTCCGAAATGACCAAGGAGATGTGCGTTGCTCAATATTTGTTGTTTTTCTTCTTGTGGAGGCTCAACGGTATTGTCTTTTATGATTGAAGCGGCTCTGTTTATTTTCTCTGGCTCGTCACTCTGATAATCTTCGTATACATGTTTGTTGTTTGTATCTTTGCTTCCCCCCTCCGAAGGAGTGCCGCAATGAAAAAGGCGCGAAAGGGAGTCGCTCATGCCATTGAGACGACCAGCAATATGGACTATGTCAAAGTTGTATTGGTAAATGGTATCAAACCAATTGGTGAGCATTGAATTAAGGTCTTTTTGTTGGTGCAAGTATGTAAGCGCCTTGTGGTCAGTATACAAAGTGAAGCGATTGCCCCAGAGATATTTATGAAACTTGTTGAATGCAAAGATGATGGCTCGGAGCTCCTTTTTTGTAACCATGTAGTTTCGTTCAGATTTGGTAAGGGCGCGTGCCATATATGAAATGATGTGTTTTTTGTTGTCATACTTTTGATAGAGTACAGCAGCAATACCGACGTTGGATGCATCGGTAGCGACATGGAAGCGTTTTTGCATATTAGGGAAGCTGAGAAGTGGGGCATTAAGTAAGGCGTATTTAAGGGTATTGAATGCACGTGTATGTGAATCGTTCCAATGAGCATGAATATCAGGTGTGTTGCGTAATTCGTCTAGTGGATTGGTAATATCGGCAATGTAGGGGATGTAATCCCTGAAGTAATTAATGAAGCCTAGGTAAGCTTGCACATCACGTGCGGTTTGTGGCACTGGCCATTGTTGAGCATTAGTGACCTTACGTGGGTCTGGTTTATGGCCATGGCGGTTGACGTAAAAGCCCAAAAGATGGACACATGCTTGCATAAAAAAGCATTTTTTGGGTTGTAATATAAGATTTGCATGGGTGAGTCGATCAACGACATGGATAACGTGTTGGGTATGTGCTTCGTGCGTGTGAGAGTATATGATAATGTCATCGACAAAGGTGGTGACATAGGGTAAATCATGAAAGAGGAGATCCATTACACGTTGAAATTTGGAGCTAATGGGTTTCAAGCCAAATGGACAACCTTTAAACATATACCTGGTGCCATCGGGTCCAGTGAATGCCGTTTTATGCTGATCATCTGGATGAATAGGGAATCGATGGAACGCACTAGCCAGGTCAAGTGTAGTATAAACGATTGCTCCTTGTAGTTTGTCAAAGATGGTAGAGATTAAAGGTATCGGGTAGTTATCATCGTGTAAATGTTGATTAATCAGGCGAGGATCCAAGCATGGACGGTATCCTGTTTTCTTGCCTTGATCATCTTTTTTGGGGGCTAACGTAATAGGATTGTTCCACCGATTATCAGCATTGGCGGGAACGATGGTTATAGTGTCATCTGCTAACCATTTATCAATGGCTTCTTGTACGACGGGTTGTAAGTTATATGGTATTGTGTATTGACGACGATAACAATACGTCTCAGGAGGTGTAGGTATGGTGATGATGGCTTCAGAGAGGGGACAAAAGGTGTTCGATGGTATTTTTGCATTACGGTCTAAGCTTGGTTGTATCGCCTGCATAAAAGTGGCATATTCTTGTGCTCCACAAGCGGGAACATTTGGAGGTGTATGTGTATCATCAAACTCGCCTTCCTCATTTTGTTCTAAAGCATCATCCCGTGTATGGGCTAGGCCTGTGTAACCTATGCCGAATGCATTGAAGAGGTCTTTGCCGATACTGGCTTTTTTGTTGCGTGCAAGATCCATCACTTCGAACGAGCGTTGAATGTTGCGACCATTATACCAAATGTCGAGTGGTTCAGTAATGCCGATGCGTTTAACCTTCGACTCGTGTGAGGCCAATTGTATGTATCCATGAATAGGTATGATCTTTATTCCAATCGTTTGACAAAACTTATCACTAATAGCTGAAAATGTAGCACCATCATCCAGAAGGGCGTGTATTCGTTGTCCCTCTATGGTTACTGGAATCAGCATTTCATCACATTCATCTTGTTTCTTTATATAGGACTTACAAGGCAAACCATCATCCACATCGTCATCGACAATGGCTGCTGAGCGATTGACCATTGGTTTGGCCTTGGGTAAATGAGCCATGGGTTTGCGTCCATGATAGATCAAGTATTCATTGCAGCGATGATTGCTGTCTTCTCGTAGACGACCACAATGGAAGCAATTTGGGTTGTCTTGGTTACGTGAACGTTTCATGGGTGAGCGTTCATAGGTGCTCGATCCCTCATGCGTTCGCTTGTTGTTGATGAATGAATTATTGCCTTGAACATGTAATCCGGATATGTAATGTGCGATGGTCTCCAAGGACTGCTTGATGAAAGAGGAACCAAACTTGGTTGAAACAAGGTTATATATGACATGCTTGTTTTGCAATGATGAAAGGAGTGCTACTATCATGGGCACATGGTATTTGTCCAAGCCGGTTTCGATCGAGCGTTGCACAAAGCGTTTGGTGTATGTGCGAATGTCTTCATCCGGTTTTTGCCTCATGTGCAACACAACCTCCATGCTAATCAATTTTTGTTCAGGTGTGTCAAACTTGTCAATAAATGCTTGTTTGATGGCAGCCCATGTGTAGTCGGGGTTCTCTCTCAAGACGTCGTCCAACCAAAGACTTTGAGTATCATCCAGGCATTTGGGCATCAATCTTTGCCAATGGTCTTCTGGTTTCAATCCGCAGGACTGTAGCTCCTTGACAAATGCTCTTAAAAACATCTCCGTCGACAGGTGCATTTTGCGCATGGGGTTCCATTTTTCATTGCCCACAATTTGTAAGGCTGGTAGTTCCTTTGGTACGATATGCGAGTCTTTTTGCTTGTCATCTTGTTCTGAATTTGAAGCAATGTCCATCGTGTTGACTTGTATTTGGAATTGTGGGTGTAGGGGATACTTTTTGTTGCAAAGACGACGATACTTGTCTACTTGCTCTTGAGCGTTTTCAGCGGCTCTCATAGCATTGGCTTGTTCTTCCTGAGGTTTGTCATTGATGACTGCTTCCTGGAAAAGGGCGTCCTTGTGATCGGCTTGCATTTTTAATTTATGCAATGTGTTCAGGGATGCAGTGAGAGGAGAGTCATTCGTGTGTTTTGTGGTTGTAAATTCCTCCCTTTCTTGGGTGGAATTGAAAGTTTGCTCTTGATCAGGTGTTGCAGCTTCCTCCCTTTGTGGGTCAGAATTGTCACGCTGCTCATTGTTATTATCAACTTCCATATCATCATGAATTGAAAGTCTTTCCATATCTTCTTGTACGCGTCTTCCACGTTGTCGTCGTTGACGCCGCTCGCGTTGGTTGTTGTTGGTGTTGGTCTCATTTGGATGTTGTTCTTGGGGTTGTTCGTTGTTGGACATGGTGACAAAGGAATTCACTGTAAAAAATGTTGTGTACGCGTTTGAGAAGTAGAAAGGATAAAACAAAGAAAGTACAGTGAGACCTAAAGATAGTTGTCTTTATTACCATGTCTGTATTCAGGCTATTTATATGGCGGTGGATTAGGATTAAGGAGTAAAAGATAGATAGGTTTGTATTAATGCATATACATGCATTCCACAGCAATAAAATAACCAACATACAACTATCTTATTATCTCCATACTTTTATCTTATCTTCAGTCTCTTATTCGACTTACGGCTTCCTCTGGATATTCCTTTCATTCTCGGTGCTAGTTTGAGTGTCTCTTTGGGTTATTTACGACTTCTTTACAAAAACGGAAAGAGAACAAGACAACTAGGAGCAAGGACCTGACAAAATAATTCGAGGGGCTATGGCCAAATGGATAAGGCGCCTGACTACGAATCAGGAGATTCCAGGTTCGACCCCTGGTAGCCTCGATGAGTTGATAATAGCTTGTAGTGAGCTGTTTATTCTTTTTGGATTTTTGGTTCCGGATTTCCAACTGACAACATTTTGGACAAGAAGGATGAGCAGGTCGAAACACACCTTATCTCAACAATAGAACATGGAGTATCCTTTTTCTTTTGCATCTATGCTTCCGCGTGTTCTACTCGTGTCGTATGTATCTTGAAACATACGTTAGCGATGAAACAAAGGGATCCATTACCGTTATTGAGGATCACATGCACCTTTTTGGTTCCCATTTCGTCGCACATCATCACACATTCTTGTATCTTTGTTTCCTGGTTTTTGATATTGCAATACTAAGATACTTCAAGATAAACCAACTTAGGTCTTCGTTGCTATGCCATTATTGCAAGCACGATCTGTCATCGTTGCAAGTATGATTATGCGACGAAGGAAGCGACTTAGTTTTTTTGTTGCAGTTGGAGCGCCGATATTACATCTTGCATTAGCACAAGAGATTACGTCGCGTTGTACTGTGCTGCGTTGTGCTGCATACTAACCAGCCAACGTACTATGTTGATGATCAGATACATCTATCTGGTGGAGGACTGCTTATTTGCCACAGATATTTTCTTCTCCGGTACACTAAAGATGATGTTTTTATAGCGTGAGATGATTGCATAATAAACTTTGTGGGGCTCCAAAACGAATAACATGGATTGCCAAATGATAAAGATGAAGGTGGGTGATCATAGCATATAGCGTATAACATGGACAACGAGACAATAGCACCCGACACATACATGAGTAATAGATTACAAGTTCTGCTTTGGTAGGCATAAAGTATAATCGTTCGTTTGTTGCACACGGGCGGGAAAGCTAATTTCCTTGCCTTTTTGAGCATATGGCCGAAAGATCTGCGTGTATGTGAAAGGAGAGTAATCATATTTTGGCGGGTAAAATGCACTTAGTCATGAGAATGTAAATATCTATTTAATAGGTATTGGGATGAAAAGTCTATGGTACATGTGGTATATGACCATGGTGGGGATATCGGAGGATGCATTGGCCGAAATGATGAAAAGAAGGGGGTGAGGAAAGTTAAACGGCATGGCTCCGATCGGCAGTAGCACAATCGTCTTCCGATATGAAAAGTATCAAAAAGGGACAATCATGCATTGGGATATGAGGAATTCATGGATAGATTTTGGACATTGAGCTACTTCATGTCTCATGTCGCGTATAATGTGTATGGAATGACTATTAATGCATTGGACAAGTTGTGTGCAATATGCGTGTGGGTAATATGCATGTGTGTATGTTGCACAATAACGCCTTTGGGTGGCGACACTGCAGCAAAAGGTGCATCAGATATACACACATTCACACTATAACAACCTCCCCCGCCCCTTCTTTCTCCTTTGCCAAGTGCTTGTTGTAGTCGTCCAATCGCCACTACATTGACATTTACTCTACGGACATACACACAAAGAGCCAGGCACCATGACGACGACGGATGCTTCTTCTGAACATGACACTACAATTATGCATCCCACAAGCAATGGTAGGTTGTCCTTCATGGGGTTGGTTTATGATACGCTTTATTCTAACTTGAATTCGCAAGGCAATGAGGTGGATGCATGGCTTGAGTTTCAGCTCCAGGAGTATGTGGACCATGGCTTATTGAAGTCTTGTACGCAAGAAGAGAGTTGGCGAATGGTGTATTGCCTTGCTCATCGCTTTTTCCCTGATCGCGTGTCCGATCTGCCGACGATCTTGCAGCAAGGAACGCCAAGTGACATGGAAGGTGCTTTGCAGATTCTACACGACGAGCTGGGTGTCCCTGTTACGGTTGACAATGGTGACATGATGGCCTATTACAATACGCTCCGCGATATCACCATGGAGACATTTACACAGCGACGCACTGAGATTCGCATGGTGCAAGAAACGGCCCATTTGACCATCACCCGAACAACAACAACACGAGGCGACGCTGAATTGGAGAGACGTGCACGTGTGGTGATGAATCGTATCAAGCGGTTGCATGATACATTGAATGACATGGCTCTTTATCAAAGTCATATGGACGTGGGAGGAGAAGAGGATGAAGACCAAGAGTCCTTTGAAGCATCCATGATCAGTCGTGTGGAAGAATTTGAAACGAGTCTGGCATCATTTCAAGAGGAAGAATATGCATCTTTCAAGGAATACGTGGAAAATGGCTTGGATCATGAGGATCAAGACACACAACATTATATGCAGGAGGTCGTGGAAGCACATGCAGCTTTGGATACACAATTACGGGAGGATTTTGGCACCATTCGTGCAAGAACCACACTCGCCAAATTGACTCGCCCTCTACGTAATGAGCTCGACTTTATTCAAGCACACATGCTAAAGACAACCATCCACATCACTTCAGCTGCTATCGATGATCTTGAAGAGCGTGTCTTACACGTAGGCCGTATGATTAAGGATATCCATGAGCAACATCCCGAATTGGTGGGCCCTGCAGATTGTGATACTTCGCCATCACCACGCTTTGAAGCATTGAGACAAAAGCACGTCTTGGTCAATCAATGGGTACATGAAGTGCGAGTATGGCATGGTCATTGCGAACGTGCCACCGATTGGATCTCCAGCAAGTTACGGGATATCGAGAACCAGGACGTGCCAGATGGTTTGCAAGAAGGACATCTTGTGGATGATAACGACGCACTTGTTTCCAAGGTTGATCAGCTTAACACGGCCCATGAAGCATTGGAGAAACGTGTCGAGACATTCAATGCCGAGGATATTGATTGTATGCGTATGCATGTCAAGACACTCACTGCCAGTGACAAGAACAGAGATGATCTTACGCCTGCCGATACCATTGTCATTGAGATCATCTTCACAACGCTCATGGTGTTTGATCGATTGATGAATGCGATACGTCGTCGCTCGTATGATTTGCAAGTGTTGGCTTTACGAGTGTTTTGGGAACAAGAGCATGCCAAGTCATATGTATGGCTTAATCGAGCCCATCTTCAGGTGGATGATCTTTTGGAACATGCACAATGGCGACCTGACGAGGAACATCATGAGGCCATCCGATCCCTGGTGGTGCAGCAATTATTGGATCTTGAGCACCAGTCGGCTACCTTTGATCAAGGGCAATTCACCATGACCGTCAACATGTATCAGGATATGGATGACATGTGTAGGGTTGAGATTCCCGAGCATTTGGAAGCCATGCAAGTGCGTATGGAGCAAGATTTCGAATCATTGACAAAAAAGTTGGCGTATGCACGTGAAGTTGTCGAGCAACGATTATCATTGATGGACTACGTGGAGCGTGCAGTGAAGCTGTTGGCAAGTGGAGAGCAACTCAAAGAAGAAATGGCAGCAGCAAAAAAGGAGTCGACTATCACCTTGGATCGTGATTTGAGCACGCGAGTGAGAAGCGATCAGGAGCAGACCTTGCATATCGTGACCGTACTTGCACCCCAAATGCGATATCCATCCGCTGAAGCCATTGGTCGTCAAGAACAAGGTGACATATTCAATGCAACAGCTGAGAGATCTGTGAATGAATACAAGGCAGCTCTCGAGCAAATGAGCGACACGTTACAAATGATGTTGGAAGAGCTTCAGCAAATGCAAGAGCTACAAAAGGCGGTTGCTCAACTCACCAAAGACCTTGCACAGTTGCAATCATCGGTTCAAAAACAGCTCCGTGCTGTTAAAGCAAGCAGCATTGATGTATTGGATGAACGATGTGCTTTGGATAAGACGGATGTGGACCGGCTACGTATTGAGTGTGGAAATCGGTTATCCAAAATGATGGTGCTCAAGGACACAGATGCCAAAAAGCTTGATGACAAGTTGAAGTCGCTGAAGCGCAATGTTGCTGATACGGATGCCGTTTCATTGGATCCTTTGGAGAAGACTATGGAGCACGTGAATGCTCTTTTCAAGGAGCTTGAATCAGCATTGGAGTTGCGTCGTCTTCAAGTGGATGTTTTACAAAAACGGCTTGAATGGGAAAGGTCTTTGGATGATGCTTCTCAAATGGTGCGATCGACGACACACAGTATTTGGATTTGGATTGAAAAGACACAATGGCGACCCAATAACAACAACAACAACAACCAGCAGCAGCAACAAAACAGCACATCCGATAGTGAAAAGGAGATGCGATCGAGCCTTGAGGAATTGGGTCAACAAGTTGAGACGAGCAAGAGTTCTGCAGCCAATGTATTTGATGGATTCAGAGATATGGCAGATCAGCTTACCAGCATGTCGGATGATGATCTTCAATTGGTGCTTTTCCACATGCGTCGACAACAAGATAAGCTTCAAAACAGCTTGAGTGAGCTTACAGGGAGTGCTGAATTTGCAGAGGCAGTGCTTGAGCAACGTGTGGGCGTAGGTGTGTTTATGCGACGTGCTGACAAAGCACATGATACGGGTGAGCAATTGATATCAGCCATTCAGCATGCACTCGACACGATCATGTCCGACAATGTCAAAGACGACGATGATGATCCATCAGCAACTCGTTTTTCCAAATCGGTTGAGCAATTCGGCAAGGATATCGAAGAGTTATGGTCACAGCATGGTGAAACTGTACCTTATCCAACTCGCTCATCAGCTGCTCATGCTGCCCGCCTTTCGACCCAAGATGATGATATCAATGTGCGTATCAAGACCATTGTGCTTCATGAGCGTGGTATGTTGAATGCCTTGTATGACAAGATGGTCATGCTGCATACACGATACAAGATGGCGATGCAACTTACCAGCAAGGTGCGCTATGCTCGACGACGTATCGATCATCAGCAGCAACAGGTGACAGCTCTCATGGATGAGATTGACGCTGATCGCCGTCAACAAGAGCTTGAGATGAACAGGATGAAATCATTGAAAGATTTGATGACAAGAAACAAGGCACGTGTTGACAAAGTGGATGAATACAAGAAGACACTAATTAACCTGGACGATGACTGCCAATCTCTCACAGGCACTCTCCGGCAAGAAGGTCTTGATGCACATGTTCCCGTTGATGGCCTCACCCAAGCCTTGGTTTCATTGGAGACGAACACACAAAGGTTGGAAGATATGTTTTCTCACTACACGAGAGAGCTTGGCATCAGCGACAAACGAGCCCGTTGGGAAGGAAATGTCAAGGATGCAATTCGTCAAATCAATGTGCTGGCCGACCAAGTTGACACGACATTGGATTTTACGCACTTGGCATCATCTGGCAGCGACATCCTCCAAAAACACAGGGAACATCTCAAAGCCCAACAAGATCGAGCATCTGTCATCAATAAATATCTAGAATCCCAGGTGGATCCCAGTTTTCATCTTGTTAAACAAGAGTATGGTGATGATGAGCCATTTCCACAAGCACTTGCTGATCAGCAGAATCAGTTACATGATCAATTGGGCAACTTGAGCACACTCATTGAGAGCAAGTTTATCGAACTTGATCGTTGGGAAGAGCATGGTCAATGGCAACAGAGGGTCAACAAGGCAATGGAAGAATGCAATCATCAACAGCAGCTTATTGAGAAGTTTATTCGGAAAAGAGCAGCTCAATGTTTGCGAAAGGGAGAAGAAGAAAATGATGTCAGTGGATTGGATCAGTTGAAATCCCACGCACAGACGCTTGTGGATCGCATTGACCACGTGATTCGAGAGGGTGACACATTGGCACACGATCGTAAAGCTTTTGAGTCACACAAGGAACGTGCTATGAGTGTCAGGAGACAATTGAGTGGCATTCTTGACTTTGCTCAACGGGTGGATGACCAATGTGCTACAGCATTGTCGTGGTTGGATCGTGCACATCAATTGGAAGAAGATGCCCAAAAAGAGAGGTTGAGGATTGAAAAGGGTGATGTTGATGATGTCGACGTGGTGATTGAGCATTTCAGAGCAAAAGTGCAAGAGCTTTGCAATGACGAGTTGATGTTTCCTGTGCGTGATTATGAGGAGCATGATCCAGCTGCAAAGGACTTGGATGGAGCTGACAATGACACCTTGCAAGAGCTTGTGAATGTTCAAAGGCAAAACCTTCATGATTTGATCGACATGCTCGATGCAGCTGCCAAGGCGCGAAGATTGACTCTTGAGAAGCAAAGCAACGTGGATGCTTATCTTGTGGAAGCTCGATCTATGCAAGATTGGATCAATGACAAGCTCACTTCAGCAGCAAGTATTCGTGATATCGGTGATCAAGCAACAGCACAAGACATACGCTCAGCTCTTTCATTATTGGATTCCTTGTCAGCAGCCGTCAACACGCAGCAACCATCCTACGATTCTTTATGTGCAAAGGCAAAGCAGCTGGATGATGATGTACAAGTGAAGCAGCAACAATCGACTCTTGCCAGCATGTGGGATCAGCTTCAGCGTGATGTTAGCGATGAGACTCGTGAACGATTGGAAAAGTATCTTCAGCACGCCGAATTCCAAGAAGCCGTTCAATCTTTCAAATCGACATGTCAACAATTGGAAAACGAGCTGGCAAATGCCGAAGTGTGTGATCTTTCGAAAGAATCGATTGATGCGTGGTATCAACAATTGGATATGCTCAAGACTCAATCCCTTGTATCGGTCCAAAAGCAAATCAAGGATGATGAGCCTGGTCAAAAAGATGCATACGAGGCAATGGTGAAGCAACATCAACAATTGTGCAATTTGCTGGATGATGTCAATACAAGGTGGCAAGAGGATCAGCTGATACAAGATTACCAACGACGTGCTGCTGAGTTGGCATCTCAATTCTCGGCCTCAAATTCGCGATTGGAATCGATTCGCCAAAGAATTCCTATTGTCACCGGATCGTCTGATGATAGCGACAATGATGCCATTGTTTCAGCATATGAGGATGAGCAGCATCACGTGCAAGAATTGATGACCGTGTACGGCAACATTCAGGCATTACATCGGGATCTTCAAGAAAAGCAGCTTGCCGAAAGAGTCACTGATGAATGTACCCATTTGGATAACGAGGAGAAGTCTTTGCAGCAAAGGATTGATTTGGTGAGATCTTCGATTGATACGGCAGCACAATGGAAGGCACTTCACAAGCGGCTGAGTGATATTGAGCATGACCTTAGCAAGATTGATGATGGTGCGATTGCTATTGAAGACGCCGAAGAGCAATTGGCAGCAATGGATGCACAGCTTTCTACAATTGTTTCCACGGCTGGAAAGATAAGCAACATGGAGTGTAGTGGCGAGCAACATGCAAACGAGTCGGCCTTCCAAAAGCACTATGATCAGGTCATTGCCGCCATTGCAGCCATTAAGGAACATACCAATGCCAGAAAGCTTGAAGTCCAGCAACAAGAGGAGAAGGAAGCTATATTACAATCAGCAAATGATATACGAGAACGAGCTGAGAAGGAGCGATCCAACATCCACCAACGTCTTGCAAGTACATCCGCTGGTATCAAGTCCATGGATCCTAATCAAGATGGCATGGCTGATGCCCTTGAGCGATACCATGATGAGCATACAATGAAGGCTGCTGAAAGTAAATCTCGTGTATACGACATGTTGATGGAAGAATTGAATGGCTTGGGGATGACCGATTCGGACGAGGATATTGCATCTGCTACACGACAAGCATTAGATGATCTTGAACGTGCCATTGAGAGGGAGCAAGGATCCAGCACTTTGTTGTCGCGAGCAGCAATATCGACGAAAGCAGCAAATGATCTCAACAACCGCATTGATGATTTCAGGGCCCGATTTATGCAAGACAATGACCCAGCTAGAGCAGATGTATCGAATGCGGAAAATGTGATGGATCGCTTGAAGCAAGAGATGCCCGATTTTACCTCAAGTGTGGATGACTTATTGAAATCGTGCAATGCAATGGAGAAGGATGGCGATGATGGTGTGCCAAATACCCTCAAAGACGATGTGCTTGATCCCTGTGCACAAGACACTGCAGCAAATTGGAAGCGATTGCAAAACGAATGGAGCAGCTTGAATAAGCGAATCAATGCAACTCGCCACATGGAAGTGATGAGAGATCAATGCGATGAATTCCAATCACAAGTGGATGAACTCGGCAATGAGAAATTGATCAATGGGTTACCTTTGGAAGAGCGACCTCGAGCACAAGCATTGAGAACGCTACAGCAAGAATTGAATGACTTGGAACGCAAGGCAATGCAATGGCTAGAGAAGGACACGAGCGTATTGGATGCCATGTTGGGTGACATGAATGACAGCGACAAGAATGCACTTGGCCATCATCAAGCCATGCTTGATCAAAGCAAGAAGGACTTGATAGCAGCAATAGCAAGAAAACGAGATGGCATTGACAAGGCGCTTGGATTAGGAAAATGTCTCTCTGCTGTGGATGATATCGATGATATGATCAATCGCTTCAAGAAGATTTTGGATGATGAAGACACAACGGCTGATTTGAGTGCACAGTACAAGCAATATGAACGAGAGGTTGTCCAAAAAATCAGTGCTGCCCATGTTGCATTAGAGCAAGAGCTTGCAACTGGTGAGGAGACGGATCGTCGATCTGTAAAGGCGAGTATCAATGGATTGGAGAAACGATGGAAGGATATCAGCCAACAAGCAAAGAGCCGTATCCATGCGGCAGATGATGATCATACAAGAAAAAGAAAATCATCACTTCCTACCCGTAAAGGCGTACGTGAGACTGGCTCTTCTTCTCGACTCCCTGTTGTCTCCGCACCATCAGCACAAAGTAACACAAGTTCATCATTGTTATCCACAAGCAGTCGTTTATCACCATCAGCATCACGACTTCCCACTAGTTCAAGTAAACGCCGTGGACATACACATACCCCATCAACATCATCATCTTCATCGGCAAAACCACCGCCACCACCACCCAACAACTACAAAGCGGATCCACGCAATGATCTCGATGTGGAAATGGGCAAGATCATCAACGAATTGTCATACAAGGTCACTGTCAAAAAGGTCCATGGAAAAGTGGGACGCTATTGGATCGGTGATATCAATCCCAAGTTGGCCTATTGTCGTATTCTCAAGAGCGGCATGGTGATGGTGCGAGTGGGTGGCGGATGGATGGAATTACGAGAGTATTTGAGGACTCAGGTATGTTGTAGTAGTACTATGTTGCACAAATAGAATGTACACTCACGCTCAATATTACCTTTAGCATGCCGTACATGATGGTGATTATATATCCAAACCCAAGCCGGCTGATTCAGATCAACCCGAATTCCCTATGAAAGAAGCATTTATTGAAACGAAAAAACACAGGATGCGTGAACGTACCTTTGTCACAGAAGAATAAATAAGCACGTGACCTTTTTTCCTACCCCTGACGTCAATGCAATGATACATGTTACTTGTCTGTGCGTGAGGAAGAAAGAGTATCGGGGATAAAGTAGAGCGAAGAGCAACGGAATGTGTGTGTGTGTTACTCGGAAAGATGGATCCGACAATGAGACGCCGGAGTTTGGTTACACAAAGGATGGTGCGGGTGTGCACGTACACACACACATACACAGGTACTTTGTTACTTTGGTGTTTTGATGCGGCTTATTTTGGACCTCGAGTCATCTTTTGCTCTTCTTTCTCTTTCTCTTTCTCTTTTTCCCTTTATTGTGTGCCACAGAAGCACTACCACATGTGCCCATCATCATCCTCTATCAGCAGTACAACCACACCACCAGTAGTGTCATCATCATCATCCTCACCACCACCTACAGCCAATCACAACAACAAAAACAACAATACTATTGCTGGTGGCAGTGCTATCAAACCCATTAGGTAATGTAATCCTTCATTTCATGTACTCCTGCATACAAGGGTGCTGACACCAATAAAGGTCTACTTCACCACCACCAACCCTTCTCATGTCACAGCCTACTACGCCTCGACCCAATACTATGGTGGTGTCGTCAACTGATTCAACCACCTTATACGCATCAGATCAAGCTGTTTCTTCCACAACATCCGAAAACGATCATGGCAGTGGTCGTGGTAATGAGCTGTATAAAGCAACAAACGATGTTTATTCCACCAACTTGATGCCAACTACTACTGCGACAAGTGGTGGTGGTGGTGCTGTTGTTGACAGCAGCAGCAACAACAGCGTGTCGGTACATCATCCGCAGCCGCAGCAGCCGCCACAGCCACCAGCACCATCGCACAATCAACACTATCGCCGTCGGGATCCAATAATGCATCCATTTCATGATGGCCCATCTTTTGGTCCAACACGTTACAATCGCAACATTTACGCCCTGGATCGTTCCACAATGTAAGTACACATGTACACAATAGGTTGGAATCATGCATAGTATCCCCCTGACACATTTTGTATAATATTGATGATAGCATGGGAATTGATTTGCATGCACGCATTGATCGAGGATTTTTTCGGGCTGACAATGATTGGACATGTTATCGGCGCAACTATTTTCAATTGACGGGTGGGTTTTCATTACGTGGAATGAACATGCCATTATACGAGAAGGGTCAAGAGACGCCATCATGTCTTGTGCGGTGTAGCAGAAATGGACAAGATGAGTTGCATCCAATCTCCAGTTTCATGCTTGGTGTTACAGCACGGATTGCAAACAGCGACAAGCCCATTCAACTTGTTCAACTCACTGCGAAACGTGACAAGGGACCACAATCCACACCTCCACCACTCCCATTACGTCCTGATACAACACCTGATTCATCTACAAGGGTCACTTTTGAGCGTATCCAATTCAAATCAGCTACAGCCAACAATGGCAAACGACGAGCAGCTCAACAATATTATCAACTTGTAGTACAACTTTATGCGCAAGTGCAAACATCATCAAGTACTCTTCTTGTACCAGTGGCTATGGTTGAATCGGATCATTTGGTTGTGCGTGGTCGTAGCCCGGGTCATTATGGTGATTTGGTTTCAGCACGCTCTCATCATAGACGTAGCTCTTCTTCCACCACCACCACTACCAGCACAGCAACATCACAATCAAGTCAACAACAACAACAACATCCTACAGCTTTTCATCATTGGCCACAAGGATCCAATCACAGCAACAATCCACCAGAAGTATATCACAATCGATTCCTTCCTCTTCCTCATCCGTTTCAAACAAATCAACCGCCGTCCAACAGTAACAGCTCATCATCCACCACTACGACAACAACAACACCCCATCCATACTTGAATAACCCTCCTTTTCTACCACCACCACCACCACCACCTTCTACACACAATGAAACATAACAACCTTTCCTTGATAAACATGTTTGAATAACTCGGGTGGTTTTGCTTTATATACACAATTTCTTCTTTCATTTGCGAATAAAAAAAAAAGTACCATCGATTTGATATGCAGGTCCAAAACCCGCTGCTTGCTGCTGCTTTATTTCCTCTTTCTTGTTACCCAAACCCAAATGGACTCCAATACCCCCACTGCCCAAGAAGTCGATGAGACATTGAAGAGGTTATCATCTCGCAAAGGTGTCAAGGCAGTCGTCATTCTCAACAACGAAGGACAAGCCATTCGTTCAACATTAGACGAGACTCTTACAAAGCAATACGGTCAATTGATCTCGACCCTTGTACAGCAGGCACGCACCACAGTGAACACGCTAGATGACCAGGTACAGAATGCCTCTCTCTCTTTCTTCCACATTGCCCTTCTAACATTGAGCGTCTCTTTATTAGAACGATGTTACTTTTATGCGCGTGCGTACAAAGAAACACGAAATCATGATTGCACCAGGTGAGTATGCATACGAAGCGACGTGGCCTGTATTGATTGACATAATGGCTATAGACCGCGAGTATCTACTTATTGTTGTTCAGAACCCCCAAGAATCTATTCAGCAATAAATGGATTGATGAAGGATATGGATTTGGATCGAGTGGATTGGTTATGGACATGGCAGTGGATATACGACATACACGCATTCGCTTGCTAGGGATTTGGCGACTTGAGATATCATTTGTACATACGCAGCACATGAGGAGCATGCGCCAACATTCGGCTAAAAGCGATCATCGATTGTGTTATCGTCATCAGCGAGGATTCTATCAACATCTCATTACTGCATTTACAACACGTCATTCGCATCATGGCACTCAACAGGGATAAAAGGTACATCCATGACTGGGATTGGCACAACAACGTCCATGTAAGTGTATATACTTTGTCTTTTTATCATTATACAAGTGCGAAGACTATTACATCAGAGGTATCTATAGGAAGGATCATCTACAACAACGCTTCTCCAAGGCAGCAACGAGCCAGCGAGCAGCCTACTTGAACGGTCTTGAACACAGCATTCTCATCCTCCAATGCAGGGTTTACTTCCATGATATCAGCAGCCACCAACAATCCAGTCTCTGCCAAGGCTTCACAAATGTAATGTCCTTCACGGAAAGTCAAGCCGCCACGTACAGGAGTACCCTAGAGTTATAGATAGAGTCGTTAGATACATGTTGGCTGGATCCAATGAAATATACATATATACACTTACAGTGGATGGGGCAACGGAGGGGTCAAGGGCATCAACATCAAATGACAAGTGGATGGGCAAATCACGGTTGGGGTTGACCTGATCAAGTGCCTTTTCAACAACTTGACCAATACCCCACTTGTCAACATGATGCATAGAGTAGGCAGGGATACCGAGTTGTTTGATAATCTTCTTTTCGTAAGCATCAATGTCACGGAGACCAATGTATGCGAGCTTCTTGGCATCTAACAAGGGCTTGACCCATTGGAAATCAGGGTGATCGGTGGATAAACCAGTGAGGAAACTAAGAGGACAGCCATGAATGTTGCCTGATTCAGTAGCTTCAGGTGTGTTGATATCCTATAAAACATCATTTCATAAGTCTCTCTCGCTTTGCCCATTTCATCCCCTAATCACCCATTTTTACTTACAGCATGTGCATCCACCCACACCAAGCATGCGTTGGGATAAGCACCCAAGACACCGGAAACAGTGGCAATGCCAACAGAGTGGTCACCACCAAGCGTGAGAACAAAATTGCCTTGTTTCGCACGCTCCACGATTTGGTCGGCTACGGTACGAGTGACAGCGGATACAAACTTGGGTTGACGAAGGTTGTTCACCACAGGATCGGATTCAGGACGAAGCTTTTCAACATGGTCATTGCCTTCATATTCAGTCTCCCATCCAAGTTCTTCAAGTTGTGCAGCAAGTCCAGACTCAACGAGACGCAAGGGACCCTTTTCAACACCTTCTTGGGGTTGGCCACCATTGAAAGGAACACCAATAATGGATACCTTCTTGGTCTTAAGAAGCTTGTAGGTCTCTTGTACAGTCATGATAAAAAGTTATGGATGTATGGAAAAAAAGTAAAGGGAAAAAGGGCCACGCGGCCACGGCTTTTTTATATACGCAGGCATGACACTGCATTTTTGTGTAACCCAAGCATCAATGCTAAATGTCTCTCTCGCCGCTGTTTTGGAAACAACGACGTCATATGCACACTTTGAATACCGCACTGTTTATATTACTGCTAAACAAAAAACATAACGGCTATCGTCCTTGATACAAGGAAAAAGTGACAATGTCGGGTATGCATGTTGCACATACTCGCGATCGGAAAGATGGGGATGGTCAAGGTTTGAGATTTGTGTGGTGCATGAGCTTCCTTGTTGCTGTTTTTGGAATCTTGTAACTGATGTCATGTCACACCTCTTATCGATCATAAGAGTAGAATGGAGAGAGAAGAGGGAAATTACCGGATGGCAAGGCGTGATGCGTGTGAAAGTACAACCTAAGGCTCAACATGTATGGGTGAGGTGAATGAGAGGGTGGTGTCAACGTTTGCGAGATTAAGTTGGATTGCGAGGCTTGCATGTACAACATGCCATGAATAGGATAATGATCACTGATTGGCATGGTTTTGGGTAGTCGCTGAATATGATTGAGCCATTAAAAGTGAGTCGTCAACGGGTGCTGCCTTTGATTTGTTCAAGCTTGTTTGCTATGTGTGAGAGTTTTGTCGGTACAGGATCACTCCTCCCTATACTTGGTATGTGCGGAAATCAGAAAATGACTTTTAATGCAGAATGGTGTCGGGAAAATGGCGTCTCCACAGTACAGCGGGAACATGTACATACATCTCAGCTTAGATTACGTTTTGCTTGAATCCTTTTCCACTTTACACCTAAAAAGTGAAGATGAAAACGCATCCATTCTATTGCCAAGTATCTTGCAGGGCTGTTGTAGGTGGTCTATACCTTGCAGTGATACCACATGAGAATTTGGTTTCCCACGGTATTCTTTCCCGAGGCCGTATTTGGATAAGCATCCGGGAAACGTGCCCCTGGATGAAAATGACCACCCATAGATAATCTTTGTGTAGAGCAAAAAGTACCACAAGATCGGATATCGGAGTGAAAAAGTTGCCCTGATAACATTCACATGGGCTATCTTTACCTTGATGCCTCACAATGTCAAGTTATTATAACCCCAAAAGTAACATGTAGATCCCATAAGCATCTTTATAATAATTCTAAAACTGCTATCTAATGTTCAAGTTTCTTGAGCTCTGCGTTGTAATCTCTAATCACCTTGACAGTGGTATCCTTGTCGTAAACGCTGTACCATCCTCTAGGCTATTGTTGCAATTAGTTAAAGCAGCCAAATGATGAAGATGATATGGCTCGTTTGAAGGCTTACCTCGTGTGGTGGGTCGCCGAGGAATACCATGCCGTACTTGTTTGGATAATCTGTGGAACGACCTTCACCGCTATAGGCCCAAAAACCACTGCCACTGAATTTGCGATCTTTGGCAAGATCAACGATTTGTTCAAAGATGTCATGATAGAATTTGTCCTTGTGTGTCGTAGGTGTGGATGGATCGTACTTGTATTCGAGGTCATCAGGCTTATGCCAAGCATCGCGTGCCTATAGTTAACAAAATGTCAATGACATGACCTCCTCTTATAACAGTGAGTGTATTACCATTCCAAATTCTTCCAAGAGAATGGGCTTCTTTAATGTCTGTGCCCATTCGGATCGGCTAGAGATAAAATCTTTGGCAGCAGCTTGAGCATCAGCAAAGGTGGTGACATTGGCTGGATCATAAATGCCGCGACTATGGTACATAGTAGAAGGAGGATGTGAGCCTACTACTAAGAAAGAAGCGAACCCTTCTGCATGCACTTACTTTTCAACCCAGAGATGGCAGGTGGTGTAATCAATATCCTTGTGTTTGTGTGCACGATCAAAATCGTACTTGTCAAGGATGGACTCAAGACCAGCGCTAACAAGATGCTTGGGTGCGTTCTTTTTCATGAAGGAGCTGATTTCTTCAAACCACCATCCAGGGCCTTGTTGGGGTTCATTGGCTAGCTGCCATGCTATACATCACATATCAATGATCATCATAAAGGTGCCTTCGCTTTTAACAGTATACATACTCATGATGACAGGATCATCCTTGTAGGTTTTGCCGTTGACGGTGTTGACGCGGTTTTGGACGGTGTGGATATGATTCTTGAAAATTTCTTGTGCCTTGGGAGCAACGCTACTGTCATTATAGAAACGAGCAGCGTATTGGGTAAAGTCGTCATAGGTAACATCACCAGCAGGATAAGGAATGGTTTGGTTACCAGTAACCCAGGCGACGTATTGACCAAAGCTATAACGTAATAATGATGTTGTGAGCAATCCAATGTATTATCAAAAAGATGTTATGTGGCCCACACATACCCTCCAGACCAATGCCAAAAGTTGTTCATGGTCACTATAATAGAAAAGCGTTGAGTTTCAATGAAACAGGTAGCATTGCGTTGCCATGGTTACTATTGATTACTTACTGACAGCCGTCATGTTGTATTTTTCCATGGTATCCAAAAGATAGTCAAGCCCCTTGAATACTGCTTCATTGTATTCACCAGGCTTTGGCATAAAGGAGGGTCGCACACGATAGGGTTGATCATCCGGTCCTTCGGAAGATGCCATGATACGCAAGTTGTTGATGCCCATTTCAGCCAGCTGACGGACTTCGTTCTCCATACGTTTACGATCACCACCATTACAGTCATCAGCACCGAGCCACATGCCATGCCAGTAATTTGCTGAGCGCATCATGTAAGGAACGCCATAGCGTGTGAATCCTGATCCATCCTCGGCTATTTGGACAAAGGCATCCTCTTGTTGGTTGTCCAAATGTTTTGCTGATACAAGCGTAGCTGCAACTGCAAGAGCAAAGAATGATGTTTTCAATACCATTTTAACGAATGCGTCTTCTGCTGCTATCCAGAATCCATCGTATGGGGTTTTATATACACATTGCTTACATGATAGAGCTGAAAATGGCGGGATGCGGGGATAAACATCTTTGTATCCATCTGTTACATAAGCTGTGCATCCACCTTTTACATAAGCTGTGCTACCATAACATCCACATTCAGCCACTTGCAACAATGAAACCAATCCTAATACTATGTCTTTATTCACTCGTCGAAAGAAATGGAACGTTCATATGACGGGATCACTTTGGATGAATTGGTGCTATGCATAAATCAATACATCTTTGTGTTGGGTGGTATTGCTGACAATAATCGTTGACTTGGGCGTGAGATTGCTGTCATGATGGATCGAACTGATAAAGTGGTCGTGGTCAAGCATCTTGGAGTACCGAATTGAAGTGATAGAAATCAACAGCCGATACACAAATCCACCTGCGGCTTGAAAGGTGATTTATTGTAGGTGACATACGTACGTCCGTGCCTCATTGTATCAGAGCTCACTCTTTCTTAGACGTAAATGATTTAAGCTTACAATGGACCAAGCTTCTGTAACAAGCATTGTTGTTGGGTACCAATACTATGGGTTCATTATCTTTGGAAATACAAGCATCTATTTAAACATGTGTACAATCCGTATCATCTTTCAGCATATGAACAAGGAAGCTTTAATGAATGTAACATGACAAAAGGAACAAAAGCCTCTCAATACAATAATGTAGGTAATCCAATCTCGCCTTCATGCCTTCTAATTCCTATCCTCCCTTTCATTCCAGAAGCCAACCAGTGGATCACATAGCGTCAACGGGTATCGTTGTGTCATTGTGTTCTTGGTTGCTGCCATCATCAGCATCTCCATCCATGATTGCAAACTAGATGCTGTGCGTGCCTTGACTCCATCATTCCAATATCATTCATGGCGGCAACCCATCTCTCCTCAAAGATACAAGCCCTCTTATCCATGCCATCCAATCCATCATCATCCTCAGCTGTATCCACATGTCATGATCCATCTTTCCTGCTGACGACATGCAGAGTAACCAAAGCGACATTTCAGGATCACCCATTGTGCTCGATTGCATCCTTCCATCCATAACCATTGCAAATCCAATATGTTGGTTGAAAAGAGCCACGTGATCGCTGCTGGTATGCTTCCTTTTCCCTCCAGCTGTTGCTCTATCTCTTCCTTGGTCATTCTCTATCGTGGCTCAACCAGGTGAAGATTCCTTGTATTGCGGGCACTTGATAGCTGATATGGGGATCATCCATTGGAAGTCGTATGCATCAAAGCAAAGTTGCTACGCGTAAATAAAGCTGCTTGTATACCATGGCTATCTGCTGTCCACGCAAAAGAGCTGAAAGGCAGGATGCTGCAAGTAAAGAACGCTGTTTGGAGACAATGGAGCCAATAGCAACTGCTGTTACGTCTTGTCGTGTAGAGGAGAGTACAAGAGCGTGTGTTGTAGTAGATTGACATGATGGGTGAACGCTGTTTGAGACAATGGAGTGAAGACCTTGCTAATGGCAGCTGCTGCAACGAATGCTGTTACGTTTGATTGTGGCAGAGGAGTGTGCAAGGGAGTGCGAGCATCGTCAAAAGCGTGGGTTGTAGTGGGGTGTACACGCCATGGACATGCCATTCAGTCAACAACAATCGGATCAAGACAATTGTAGGATCGACATGATGAGTTGAAGCAGGACAATCGTTCGTAGGTGGTAGTTGTACTTGAATGGGGCAACAGTTGAGAAGAGACAAGAAGTTGTGGGAGTGGAAGAAGTGGAAATTAAATAGGGCGGACACCTCTTGTATAAATGCATGAACACTGTACATCAATCCTTGATATTGAGATTGCCCCTCTCGAACCTGAAACTTTCACACAAGGTGCTCTTGGACATGCTGATCAGGTTGTTCTAATAAAAACCACATGTTTCATTGGAAAATTTGGAATGGGAGGGTACAATGTAGGTTTACTATGTAAGTCGGAAATGAAGGTCAGCGTCAGATTCATGATCTATCAATATAGCATGTATTACCTTGGGATTCCTCTTCTCGATCTTGAAACTTTGTTAGAAGGTTCGCTGCAACATGCTGATCAACTTCATTCATTTAAAAACTATACACTTCATTAAGAATGTCTTGAATGCGGGGAGGTCCAAATGGTGGATGACGGCAACAAAAGAGCGGACGGCCCACCGCCCCGAAGTTGCCCACCTCCAACTTGAAAATTGGTCAGAATGGTGCTCCGAGCATGCTGAACAACTTTTTCATAATAAAAACCTCATGCTTCATTTGAAAATTTGGAATGGGAGCGTCCAAAAGTTTGAAAGACGGAGACATTCGCAGGGTCTGCGATTCATTAATTTTCATGTTTGCTGTTTGGGCGTAGCTCAGTCAAATCAGCTCGGATCAAGACACTTGAATCATGGAAATGCTCGGCTGGAGCAGGACCATCGTTCCATTGTCATACAATGAACAAAAGTTGGGATCGAGAGGAAGTGGCTGTTAGCTGGCAATACATGAATGTTACTGGATAATGGATAAAGTATCCTTCCACTCATGCAAAACAGCTGAGTTACACAAAGATGCCCCTGTGCATCTTTTGGTCTATCAGGGTCAAGCTGATTCACAATGAACAAAGATTACTTCTCATATAGCATCACCCTTACAGCATATGTAAAACATAAAGGTGCCTGTATCTCCAAACTTTACAATGAAACGTGGGCTCTTTAATAGATCAACGTGCTCGTCGGGGTCAAAGGAATCTTGTGTCAAACTATGAAGTCCATCGTGGCCAATCCCAGATTTCGCAATGTCGCTACCAGCCAAACTGGATCTGGGGGTCGACCTCTTCGACGACGACGACCAAAAAATATTTTTTGGGCTAGTTGCGACATTGAACGTGAAACTTTCACACAAGGTGCTGTTGGCCAAGCCGAGCCCATTGCTCTATTCAAAACCCCACGTTTCATTGTAAAGTTTGGAGATACAGCCACCTTTATGTTTGTAAGTGTGATGCTATATGAGAAGTGGTCTTTGTTCATTGCCAAGCAGCTGGACCCTGGCAGAGCAAAAGATGCAGAGGGTCGTGTTGTGTAACACAGCTACGTTTGCATGAATGAAAGGGTCAATATATAATTACTTTATGGATCATCTAGGAACAGGCATGTATTGCTAGCTAACGGCCACTTTTATCCAATCATCATTGTTGCGAGATCCACTGCATGGGAACGATGACCCTGCTCTAGACATTCATTTCCATGATTCAAGTAGGTTGATCCGAGCTGATTTGACTGAGCTACGGTCAAAGAGAGATTACATCACTCTGGACATAAAGCACGCTCGATGTAGCTCAACCGATGTAATCTTGTGTGAGCGTAACTCAACCAAATCAGCTCGGATCAATCTACTTTAATCATGGAAATGAATGTCTAGAGCAGGAGCATCGTCCACCTACAATAGAATGCACAAAAGTTGGGAATGCACAAAAGTGGCTATTTAGCTGCCAATGTATGACATAAAGTGAGGGTTGTGTACCGTTCATGCATTGTCCCTGAAGTCCTGACTTTTTAGCTGAGTTATCCAAAGAGATCCTTCTGCATCTTTTGCTCTGCCAGGGTCCAGCTACTTGACGATGAACAAAGACCACTTCTCATATAGCATCACGCTTACAAACATAAAGGTGCCTGTATCTCCAAACTTTACAATGAAACGTGGGGTTTTGAATAGAGCAATGTGCTCGGCGGGGTCAAAACGATCTTGTGTCAAAATATGAAGTTCATCGTGGCCAATCCCAGATTTCGCAATGTCGCCACCAGCCAAACTGGATCGGGGGGTCGACCTCTTCGACGACGACGACCAAAAAATATTTTTTGGGCTGTTTGCGACATTGAACGTGAAACTTGCACACAAGGTGCTGTTGACCAAGCCGAGCCCATTGCTCTAATAAAAACCCCACGTTTCATTGTAAAGTTTGGAGATTACAAGCACCTTTATGTTTGTAAGCGTGATGCTATATGAGAAGTGGTCTTTGTTCATTGTCAAGTAGGTGCACCCTGGCAGAGCAAAAGATGCAGAAGGACCTCTTTGGGTAACTGGGTTAAAAAGTTTGGACTTCAGGGACAATGCATGACAGGTACGCAACCCTCACTTTTATGCCATACATTGGCAGCTAATAGCCACTTTGTGCATTCCCAACTTTTGTGCATTCTATTGTAGGTGGACGATGCTCCTGCTCCAGACATTCATTTCCATGATTAAAGTAGGTTGATCCGAGCTGATTTGGTTGAGTTACGCTCACACAAGATTACATCGGTTGAGCTACATCGAGCGTGCTCTATGTCCAGAGTGATGTAATCTCTCTTTGACCGTAGCTCAGTCAAATCAGCTCGGATCAAGCTACTTGAATCATGGAAATGAATGTCTGGAGCAGGGGCATCGTTCCCATGCAGTGGATCTCGCAACAATGATGATTGGATAAAAGTGGCCGTTAGCTAGCAATACATGCCTGTTCCTAGATGATCCATAAAGTAATTATACATTGACCCTTTCATTCATGCAAACGTAGCTATGTTACACAACACGACCCTCTGCATCTTTTGCTCTGTCAGGATCTAGCTACTTTACATTAAACAAAGACCACTTCTCATATAGCATCACGCT